TGGAAAAGTCATTAGGGTCTAGAACATATAGATACAATGAAGCCCTGAGTTCAGATTGTAGACGGGAGATAACTGGAGAGTTCTGCAAGATCATCCTGGATATTGACAAAGAATGTAGAGCAGTGAGGGTACAGAAATGAGTTGTGAAGCTAGTGTGGTACAAGCAAAAGGGACTAAGGTGGTGGTAGCGTGATAAGTAGATTGGGGTATATTTTGGAGTTACAGTTCTTTTTGACAAGATCTGTTCAACTGGATGGAAGATTGAGGGATAGACTCAAAGATGGATTCTTTTCTGATTTGGGTTTAAATGATTTGAGTGGTGATGGAGAGAATACTAAAAAAGGCAAGGTTTGGGTTTTGTTGTTGTTAATCATGTTAAATTTGAGACATTCATAAGATAGTGAAATGGAGACACTGTGTAGACAATTTTTTTTTTTTTTTAAAAACCCCAGCCAGTGGCAAGGTTGGCTCAGTGGTAGAGTGCTTGCCTTGCATGCATAAGGCCCTGGGTTCGATTCCTCAGCACCACATATGCAGAAAAAGCCAGAAGTGGTGCTGTGGCTCAAGTGGTAGAGCGCTAGCCTTGAGCTGAAGAGCTGAGAGACAGTGCCCAAGCCCAGAGTTTGGACCCCATGACTGACAAAAAAAACAACCAGAAGTAAAATTGGTAGGCATCAGCTTATGGCTGGTAATTGAAGACCTGTTAAGAAATTTTACGTGGTGGAAAAAAAAGAAAAATTACCTGGTGAAGAGATAAGAGGTCTAAACTAAGCCAAAACCTAGTAGTTAAGCAGAGGAAGATGAGCCGGGAAAGCAATGTATGGAAAGGTTGAAGCTAAGCAAGGAAGAGTATTAAAGAATGTTCAAAAGGTAAGATGATGAAACTGCAGGATCTGGCAACATGGAAATTAGTAATTTTGAAAGATACTATTTGAGTGCATGTGGGGATCAAATGATTGCTCTCTTCTCTTTCTCTACTCCCTTCATCTGTGCCCAGTTAGGATTTTCTTACTTCAGAAAAGCAGCAAGGTGCCAGTGGCTCACACCTGTAATCCTTGTTACTTAGAAAGCTGAGATCTGTGGATCACAGTTTGAAGCCAACATGAGCAGACAAATCTGATAGGACGGTAGTGGAGATGTGGTTCAAGTAGCAGAACACAAGCCTTTGGCAAAAAAGCCAAGCAAGACCACACAGTCCTGACTTCAAGCCCAGGACCAGCACTAGAAAAAAAAAAAAAAGCAAAGAAATGGATCATTAAGCTGCAGAAATGACCAAGGGGAAAGATGAGGTTTTCTTCCCTTTGGGTGAAAATATAGTGTGTATGTATACAGGTCAAGGAAGAGCAGAGGCAGCGCCACAGCTGGAGAGTTAGTTTGGGAGTAGGTGAAAGGGAAAATAATTGCGTACTGATTTGAGCCAGAAGCAAGTAGCTTCTCAGCCAGAGTGAAAACAGTAGTAGGGTCATTGGCACTGGAGCATTGTAAAGCTTGAAGAGAAAGAAAATAGAAAACAATTGACTGAAAAAGTGAAACTTAATTGCCAAGGGAAAAATGGAAGATTACTGTGCTGAGGACCTGCCTTAAGTTAATAGTTATTGGAAGTGAGATTTATCAGTGCAGTTGCATATATTTTGTACTCAAAACCAGCTGCTTAAAGAAGCATAGGAATACATTTAACCAAGATTGGTAACATGGGCAGGGCAAAATGGCTTGTGCCTGAATACCCAGCTACTTGAACCTAAGAGAATCACACTTCGATACTAACTCAGGGAAAAGTCAGAAAACAAGCTAGGTCTGGTGGCACATACCTGTAATCCCAGCTATGTTGAAGACAGGAGGATTATGTTCCAAGGCCTGTCCCAAGCAGAAACATGAGAACCTGTCTTGGAAATAACTAGAGCAAAAAAGGCTTATTTATGGCTCAGGTAGGATGGTGTTTGCCTATCCTTTGCAAGGCCCTCAGTTTAAATCCAGGGCTGACATGCCCCACAAAATAAATAAATTAGGTATCTTGCCAAGAGAATGAGAAACCAGTAATTGAAGACAAAATGGCATTGAGCTCTCAATAATAGACTTTAAAATCTACACTGCAAGTAATGAATAAAATGAGTGCAAGTAAAAATGCATCACTGGTCCCAGTGGACACACACACACTGAAGAGCCAGGCACGGGTGGTTCGTGGCAGCAATACTAGTTTCTTGGGAGGCTGAGATCATGGTGAGACCTCTTCTCAACCCATACCTGTGCACAGTGGTGCATATCTGACATCATTCCATCCTATATGGGAGGCTGAGATGGGAAGGCTCTGGGTGCTGGGGCAGCCTGACCAGAAAAACCTATAAGACTCCATCCCCAAGAAGGTGGTTCTGAGCTGTGAGCCAGCAACAACAGGAAACCTACAGTGGGTACAGCAGAGCTATCCTGAAAACAAGCAATAAAAAAAGAGGCTAGAAGCCAGGCACCAGTCACTCAACGCCTATAATACTGACTGCTCAGAAGGCTGAGATATTAGGATCACAGTTCAAAGCCAGCCTGGAAAGTCTGAGATTCTCCAGTTACCACCTCCCAAAAAAGAAAAAAAAAGCCAAAAGTGGAGCTGTTAGCCTTAAGCTGAAAACTCAGAGACAGTGGCCAGTCACTGAGCTCCAGCTCCAAGACACAGACACACACCCATGCCCAGTCACTGAGCTCCAGCTCCAAGACATACACACACACACACACACACACACCCTCACACACACATACACCCTCCCCCAGGGCTGGAGATATAGCTTAGCAGTGTTGTACCAGTCTATGAAATGTGAGGCCTGAGTTTAAACCCCAGTACTGAAAATATTAGTGAACGTAACTAACTTTAGCCTCCCAAGTACTGGGATTATGGACAGGAGTGTACCACTACGGCTTTTTTTTTGGTCAGTCATGGGTCCTGAACTTTTGGCCTGGGCGCTGTACCTCAGCTCTTCAGCTCAAGGCAAGTGCTCTACGACTTAAGCCACAGCACCACTTCCAGCTTTTTCTGCTTATGTGGTGCTGAGGAATCGAACCCAGGGCCTCCAGTATGCAAAACAAGCACTCTACCACTGAGCCATCTTCCCAGCCCTGTCCACAGCTCGTAAAACACAGTGCTAGAAGGGTTTTGTATACAGAATATTTATAAAGATTTGGTAAATTATATTGTTGATGCATATTGTAACATTTCTTATAACCAACTATAATTGCATTGATTAATATACCCATGAAACTGTCTATATTTCTACACGATACCTTATTTTGATTCTATATGCCATGTTAATCTCTCTCAAATTTTTAGGGCTCCAGATTAGACGATCAAAGATGTGCACCACCACCTGCTGCCACAAAGGGTCCAACAGTACCAGATGAAGACTTTTTTAGTCTCATTTTACGCTCTCAGGCAAAAAGAATGGATGAACAAAGAGTTCTTCTACAGCGAGATCAAAATGGGGACACTGAATTTGGGCTAAAGGGCCTTTTTCAAAGTAATGCTTTGTTGGAATTTAAAAATGCAGGGAAATAAACAGCAGGCTAGATGCTGTGTATATTTTTAAAGAAAAGACCTTTTTCCTTTCAGAACACTGCAGGGAAATTCAACCTACTTTTTCCTAGAGGAGAATATATAGCACTGTAATAGAGCTTACCATGTATTTAGAATGTAAATACTTAGCTTTCGGTGATGTAGTATGAGGCACCTACAGCCTCTGCACAGCGTCTCAGGGTGGAGGTGTCCTGTAAGGTGCTATGTCGACTTCCAACACTACCGCTTGAGACTGCTCTTCAACACACTGTCAGCTTCTTCACCAGTGTTGGCAAAATGGGAATTTAACCCTAGCCTAGAATTTAACCCTCTTGCTGAGGTAGTTTTTGTAAATTCCTATTGAAATGGCATTTTTAAAACTTAACCATGAATATTATTATAGTTGGAACTTACAATGTAGTAAAAATAATGTACTTGTCCAATGTAAAAAAAAGTTTTAGATGTTTTTCTCAAAGAAAATCTATTTTCAATATATTTTTAGGCCAAAGCCAGTATAAAATGTTAAGAAATAAATTTCTTTTAGCATGTTTTTGGCTATTAGTGTCTTCTGTTACATAATTGCCAGAAACACAAACCAAGCATGGGAGGCTCCACTGCAGGTTGGAGCTTAGCTGTCACTACAGGTCATCCTCATCCCATACACTGAAAGGCACTTACGAGGGTTCCTAAGAGGAGATCACAAAATGGGCAGGAGACAAGTGACTGAGTTGGGGGAATTGGTGGAGGAGGTGGGTTTAATCTAAAATGGCAGACTACCAATGCCCACATAAGGCACACACTGCTAACTCTACAGAGTACTAACTTCTCTAGAATGTTAAACAATATTTAGAATTATATTTAGAGCTGAAAAAATTTCTTGGCTTTAAGATCACAGAGAAATGTTGTCAAAAGCAGCAGGTTAAACTCAGATTGTCTGTTTCAAAAGTACATAAAATATAGTGCCCCTAGAGACCACCATCTTTGTGATGCTATGTTGTAAGGGACTTATAAGAAAACACATTATCAAGGACTAGAGGTGTAGCTTAAGTGATCTAGCAGTTGCCTTGCAAGTTAAGGCTCTAGGTTCAGTTAAATTCCCAGTACATTAAAAAACAACACAATCATCCAAAACAACAAAAAAAAAAACCCAGCTGGGCACCAGTGGCTCATGCCCATAATCCTAACTAGCTACTCAGGAGGCTGAGATCTAAGGATCATAGTTTAAAGCCTGCCCAAGCAGAAGGGTCCCTGTGAGACTCATCTCTAATTAACCACTAAAAAACTGGAAGTGGCACTGTGGCTCAAAGTGGTAGAGTGCTAGCCTTGAGCAAGAGTTCAGGGACAGCACCCAGGCTCCGAGTTCAAGCCCCAGGACCAGCAAAACAACAACAAATGCATTAGGCAAATGCAGTATTATATACCAAATGATAGCTATGTAAGAATAAGCAAACAGTATATACCATATAGCTATGTAAAAAATAAGTGTTTATTTTTGTGTACAGTGGTTCTTACACCCTGTAAACATTTAACATAAACATTTCTTTTGACAGCTATCTACCCCATTCTGATTTTCTTAGAAACAGATGTTACATAAACATTAAATGTGAGTAACCAACACTGGCTAAACTTAACTCTCTCTTCAGGCAATGAACTGGCCTTGATATGTTTATTCAATTTACTTAAAGTCTTCCCTGAATTGCTGTAATCATTCAATAACAGTAACATGTTGCTTTGCTAGCTTGTCAAAGCAAATTCCCAAATGGTATCTGTAATAAAAGAATACAAAGATGAAATTTAAAATATTTTTAAAGAGTCAAACTACTGTTAACTGAGAACTCTATTACACATTATTACCACTGTAGTACAGTCAATAACATGGCATTCATTTCCTTTTCTGAGTCAGATCATGACTCACAACAGAATTCCCACGTTGGGAGCAAACTAATCTATCAATGGTGAATAGGACCAGTCTGCAGGGACAACTACTTTATATGCATAATGTTCACAAATCTGTGCTAAGCTGTGTTCATCCTTTCATTAATTTGTTACATGCCTGCTATGTCACAAATGACATAATCTTTTCTGATATCAAAGGTAAAGGTTATATGCAAATTAACATAATTTATTTTCTAAAAAGACTTGGAAAATAATGAATATAAAATCCTTAATCTATGGTTAAGAAAAATGTTGTTTTCCTTTATATAAAAAATTAGAACTTCAGAAAGCCAAGACATAAGCTGTAAGCCATCGTAGTATCTAACAGTGTCCACTGCTAGAATTCTAAGCAACATGAAAAACAGGTCTTAAAAAGTCTATGACTCGGGGCTGGGAAGGTGGCTCAGTGGTAGAGCGCTAGCCTTGAGCTGAAGAGCTGAGGGTCAGCGCCCAGGCCCAGAGTTCAGGCCCCACGACCGGACCCAAAAAAAAAAAAGTCTATGACTCATTTAGTGGGGAAAAAATAAAGTCATACTCAAAAGTTAACTGCTGGAAAACTTAAGGTTATATAAACTTTTCTAGTAATTGAGTTCTAAGGCATAAAGTAAAAGGTATAAGGAAGCAGGCCCCGTAACAGCTATGCAAAGTCACAGTGATCTGTATGTGGCCCACCCACATACAAACTGACAAACAGCTGCCAGCTGCACTGATGTTGGTAACGGGTACTTTGCATTTGCGCACAGACAGAGATGTATGCATACAGAGATGAAGTTCAGTGAGTTTCTTTAAAAATAATTCTTGATTATCTATTACATTGGAAAAACTTTGAATTTAATGTAGAACAAATTATTTTAATTAAAGTTGGGCTTACAGAGTTTCCGTAAGCAATACTCACTACAGTTAGTTGGTTCCTATCAATGCCTATTATAACAGTAAAATTTCTTCATTTAACTCCTAATTCCATCACTTTATCTAAAATTATACTGGCCATAACATTCATTTTGAAATGTAAATTCTGCCAGGTGGCTCATGCCTGTAATCCTAGCTACTCAGGAGGTTGAGATCTGAGGATCATGGTTCAAAGCCAGCCAGGGCAGGTAAGTCCAATTAAGCACTAGAAAACTGGAAGTGGCACTGTGGCTCAAGTGGTAGAGTGCTCTCCTTGAGTGAAGAGCTGAGGGACAGTGCCCAGGCCCAGAGTTCAAGACCCACAACCGACAAAAAAAATAAATTCTATGAGCTCCTACTCCAAGACTGACACTTCAAAATTTGAAGGAACGTATCTTAATACTACAGAGAATAAAAGTAAACAGTCGTGTGTGTGTGTGTGTGTGTTACTTCTGATTGTCAGTGAAATTATTAGTGATTATTTGGCACCTTTGAAGTATACGAAATATTATTGGGATGCATGAAGCGTATACTTTATAGCCAGCCCGGGCGGGAAAGTCTGTGAGACTCCTATCTCCAATTAACTACCAGAAAACCAGAAGTAGCACTGTGGCTCAAGTGGTAGAGCGCTAGCCTTGAGCTGAAGAGCTGAGGGACAGCGCCCAGGCCCAGAGTTCAAGCCCCACAACCAACAACAATAACAAAAAAAGTATACTTTACAAAATGCAATGATGGTTTCAGAGGTGGGCCTGTGTCTGTGTTCCTCTAGCCACATGGGTTGCCAATGGGATCCTTCCCACTTAAAGTTCCTGCTGGGCTGTGCAGGCTGCCTTCAGTTTCAGTCTTCAGTTGGGTCTGGATCTTTTCAGTCTTCAGCTGGGTCTGGGTCTCTTCAGTCTTCAGCTGGGTCTGGGTCTTTTCTTCTGCAGATGGGTCTTCCATAGGCCCTAATGCCTCCTGGCCAGGGACAATCTTAGCAGACTGGCTGTGTTCCAACAGGGTGCTTTCTCTTGGGATTCCACCAATCTCTTTGGGTTTTGTATCCAAAATAGGTGATTTATGCTATAAAGTACAGAAGTATATTTTTACTATGAACATAAATCTGAAGGTTTAGCAATGAAACATAATCAACCAATTCTTACCATGTTTACATCCCGGCTCCACTGCCGGATTACAAATGTTAAACCTCACCCAACTGTACATGGAAGAATGAGGATACATGGCTGACCAAGCTTAGGATGCCGTGTGTACAGGTTAGCAATACTGTTGCTAACTCTTCTTGTCTGATGGGACTAATTTTGCAACGTATACTTACTGAACATGTATCAAGTTTTAAGTACTGAAGATACAACAGGAACAAAACACAAAATCTGCTCTCACTAGAACTTATACTTCATTTGGGGAGAAAATCAGACAATTCACTAGAGTTTGATAAATTACTCAATTAAGAGCTATGCAGAAAAAGCAGAAAGCTAAGTTCTGGTGTGGGGTAGGGTAGTGGGGTCAGACAGCAGTTTAAATTAAAGTTACTATCATGAGAAGTCACAAGTAAAGGCCTGAGGAAGTACGAACCATTTATATAGATCAAGAGCCTTCCAGACAGTACACAAGTACCAAGGATCTGAGTTCAAGGAAGTCTCGTGGCTGAGGTGGAGGGAGCATGGAGAGGGAGCGATGATGGGTGAGATGGGGGATCTGGGGCAGGGCAGGCCAAGGACCACTAGGGCAGCAAGTTCTTTTCCCCTCAAGCTGAGTCAGGAAGTCACTAGAAGGTTTTTGAGGTGATTGGCAGGCAATAATTACGAAAGAAAGGAACATACTCAGATTTTCTGGATACATGGATGTATTTTTACATATCTGTTATTTTTTTTTGGGGGGGGGGGGGTCCGGTTGTGGGGCCTGAACTCTGGGCTAGGCGCTGTCCCTCAGCTCTTCAGCTCAAGACTAGCGCTCTACCACTTGAGCCACAGCACCATTTCCGGCTTTTTTCTTTTTGCTTATGTGGTGCTGAGGAATCGAACCCAGGGCCTCAGGCATGCAGGGCAAGCACTCTACCACTGAGCCACCCTCCCAGCCCCCATATCTGTTATTTCTGTAAGAAACTTCATGCCAAGAAATTTTATAATTTCTTTTTCTCAAGGTTTACTTTGGAGCTGAGGGCTTCGAGTTCAAAACCCCACTCCCAACAAAAAAATAAATAAAGGTTTACAAATGACAATACCAATTCCTTTCTCAAACAGAAATATCCCTTTAAATAACCAGTGGTAGTAGAAAACTCTTGCAGTGTTCTGCAGACAAAATGTACAGTCTCCAGCCAATGATATCCAAGGCTTTTCTATTACAGGAATTCTAGAAATAGAGCAAGCAAGATTTCTGATCCTTCCTCTCTTCATCCAAAGTGGGTCTTTAGAGCTGTACTGCCATTCTTTCCTGTGCAAGGCCTTCACGGAGGCCTTTCCTGAGCACCTCAAAAGCAGAATGTTACAATAATCTTCACTAGCTTACTATGAAATTTCATATGGAATACCCTCTGTTGTAACAAAATACAGTTAAATAGTATTTAACATAGAAACTGAATCTAATTCTATTTCTTCTAAGGAAGTTGTATTAAAACCAAAAAAGGCAGAGATACGATATGAGTAACGCTGAAGGGTAAAAGAACAAAAATAGTAGCTAAGAAGCATTCAGCCCTATGACAAATGGACAGCAAAATAAACAGTTGCCAACTTACGCTGGGTTCTACCTCGGGATGAGCTTGTGCCTCGGTGTCTGGTAAATCACATGCCCGGAGCACTTCAGGGCTCTTGGTGCCACTCTGAAATCTCAAGTCAACATCTCTCTGTCTCAAAACATCTCTTCTATACTCATAAGTTTTGTCATAAGGGCCTTGCTCAATGGAGCCAGCTGGACCCCTATAATAGAAATCTGCATCACCTGCTCCACCACGGAGTCTATAATCAATTTCCTTCTGTCGTTGTCTGTCACCTGGCGGCAGTGCCTGGGGAGGGTCTCGCTCAGGACCACTGAAATGCCTTAGCACACTAACTGATTTTCCAGCACCATAGCAGAAGCTCTGAAAGGAAAAGAAATATGTTTCACTGAGGACCTAATGGATGACTTATAATTCACTTATAAGCCATCTTCATTAGTAAGTATAAACAAAAATATTTTGTTTCATTAAAGACCTCTTTTTTTGATGAATACAGGCTAGGACAGCAATAAAATTGAATATATTACTCTATTCAACAGTACCTTTTCAATCAGCTACACAGGTTTTTATGGAATTTATAACAAGAGCAGTCTGAGGTCTCGAAATTTAAATTAGTTCCAGCTGAGCTCTGGAGGCTCAGCCTATAATCCTAGCTATTCAGGAGGCTGAGAACTGGAGGGAAGGAGGGGAAAGCTGACCCAAGCAGAAAAGTCTACAAGGCTCTCTCTTCAACTAACCAGCAAAAACCTGACCAGAGATAAACTTCAGCTCAAGTAGCAGAGCACCAGCCATGAGCAAGCAAACTAAGTGACAGTATGAGGTCAAGTTCAAGCCCTGTTGGGGGAAGGTGGGGGAGAAGGAATTAAAATTATCTAGTAGGATTGGGAAGGTGGCTCAGTGGTAGAGTGCTTGCCTTGCATGCATGAGGTCCTGGGTTCAATTCCACAGCACTACATAAGCAGAAAAAAAAAAGCTGGAAGTGGCGCTGTGGCTCAAGTGGTAGAGCGCTAGCCTTGAGCTGAAGAGCTGAGGGACAGCGCCTGGCCCAGAGTTCAGGCCCCACGACCAGCAAAAAAAAAAAAGAAAAAAGAAAAAAAATCCAGTAATTTCTCAGTATTTATATATCATATCAAAATATGATATCTATATCATATAAATGCTTAAGATTTTTAAAAATTATGTCACCATGCAAATGTTCTGCAGATTTTTTTTTTACAAACATAAAGTTGACTTAAGCTACATCTAAAATTCAACAGATTTTCACATTCTATGGGACAAGCTAGGCAGCAGCACTGCCAAATGTGAGCCAGGACTCCTGACTTCCAATTGAAACTTCATCATATGACGACCCTATTTCTCACTCCCTCAGGAGTGACGGTAACCCTGAGGCTGACAGCTCAGGCAAATGACTTTGTACTTGTATTTTTTTTAATTTCTCAATTTAATGTGGTAAACTGGAGCATCGATCTCATAAATAAGAGTTCACTGTAGTCTGCAATTTTTAAGGCAGCAAAGGGACTCTAAGATCAAAACGATGAAAGTATAATAGAACTATAGTTAAGCACTATTAGAAGACAGAAGCAACATATCAGTCTTAACATTCCTTAGGGATAGAATGAAGCAACAGGAAATAATGAACGCAGGCAGGATGGTGCATGCCTGCAGTCTGTTAGCCTTGGGAGGCTTAAGCGGGAGGCTGGCTCGAGTTCAGGACTTTAAGATCAATTGAGGCAACATAGTGTGACTTAATGTCAAAAACAAACAGGAATGATAAAGCTTTTGTTCAAAGTTTCAAATTTAGAGAGTAAACTATTATAGAACTAATGTCACATAATATATACTTATGAATCATTGGATCCTGAAAAGCAAAAAAATGAATGATTTCAAAGTAAATAAAGCATACTGAATTTTATATCCTTAAGGAGAATTTCCCATGGCACATATGGGTTCTTGATGTGGCAAATGAATTTTGAATAACAGGTAAAAATCAACAACAAAACTGCTGAACAGAAGATGGATGAATGATGAACAATATTTTTTCTTTTGTTTAGGTTCTGGGGCTTCAACTCAGGGCCTGAATGTTGTCCCTGAGTTTTTGTGCCTAAGATTAGCACTCTACCACTTGAGCCACAGCTCCACTTCCAGTTTTCTGGTTGTTAATTAGAGATGAGAGTCTCAGACTTCCCTGCCCAGGCTGGCTTTGAAACACTATCCTCAGATCTCAGCCTTCTGCATGGCTAGGATTATTCGTGCCACTGGCACCCGGCAATGAACAACACTTTAATAAATGTCTTTGGATCCCCCATACTGTTCCCAGTACCCCTTCCCTTCCACATTCTCATTCTATTTTTAATCTAATACTCTTTTTTCTCAGTGATGTCATAACTCCGATTGGAAGGCCTATTTTTTTTCAAAGAGGAAGTAATGAACCCATTTCCTGCATACTGATTTACTAGCTTTAAAAAATAAATTTAAAAAGGTTATTCTAAATCATTGCTATCACCTATAGAGAACCACTTTTTTATTAAAGTAATAATACATAAGTATAAATATTTCATTTAAAAATCACTTTCTTGTACCATTGGGTGTGGTGATACATGCCTGTAATCCCTGCATCTGGGAGGTAGAGACAAGTGGTTAACAGGTTCAGGGCTAGCCTGGGCTACATAGCAAGATCCTGGCTTAAAACAGAACAGCAAGCATGACTTGGCCTGATTTACAATATCAAAAAAAAAAAAAAAACCTAGTAATTCTAGATTTTCCTTTTCTCCTACATTCTGTTAAATATTATAGTGCTTAGATACTAACCAGGACAGCCAATGCTATGATTATCAGTACTGGAATCTGTAGTAACACTGGAATCTCCTTCATGAGTGCTCTAATAAATTCACCAGTTCCTTTTCCAATGTGCTTTAAGGGCTCTGTTACGAAGTTGGTAAATGTAACTGCCAGTGCCTAAAAACAAAAGATAAAAGCAACTTAAGCTTCTCCTCAAAGGACTGAGACAAACAGAACAAGCCAAAATTCACTGTGCAGAGGCTAACATTATGTTACAGAAACTGAAATGCTTATACACACTTTTAATTTTTATTTATTTATTTTTTAGTGAGGCTAGGGACCAAGCCTTCATACATGCTAGGCCAAGTGAACTACCCTTGCCATATGCCCCAATTTTTTTTTTTATTGTAGACAGAGTCTCATTATGTAGCCTGGGCTTGGGCGCTGTCCCTGCGATCTTCAGCGCAAGGCGAGCGCTCTACTCATACTTGAGCCACAGCACCACTTCCAGTTTTCTAGTAGTTTTTATTGGAGATAAGAGTCTCACGGACTTTCCTGCATGGCTGGATACTCAGATTTCAGCCTCCTGAGTAGCTAGGATTACAGGCGTGAGCCACCAGTGCCCAGCTAAGTATTTTTTTTTTCTAGGATAAAGGCTTATTATTAGTGAAATACTTCAAAAGTTTAACCATTCTTCTATAAATGCAAGGGATTTTTGACATGCTTATATAATATGTACAAAATACATTATACCTTTGTTGGCGGGACCAACCAAATGGGGTTGACTAATAAGAGCTCATAGTATTTTTGGCATGGGTCATCTTTATAGGTCACTGAACTTCTAAACATTTCTAGTTAAAGAAACAAAACACAGAATCACTTTTAGAACTTAAAAAGCTGTAATTAATTTCCAAATGAAACTATTTTTACCCTCCTTGCCCATCTATTAGTCAATTTTCAACTATTTTAAGTTTTAAATAGACCCTTGTAATGCTGATTTTTTTTTTTTTTGGGGGGGGGGGGGTCGGTTATGGGGCTTGAACTCTGGGCCTGGGCACTGTCTCTCAGCTCTTCAGCTCAAGGCGAGCACTCTACCACTTGAGCCACAGCACCGCTTCCAGTTTTCTGGTGGTTTATTGGAGATAAGAGTCTCACGGACTTTCCTGCCCAGGCTGGCTTTGAACTATGATCCTCAGATCTCAGCCTCCTAAGTAGCTAGGATTACAGGTGTGAGCCTGTAATGCTGGTTTTTAATAGTGCTGATTTTTAATATTTTTCATGTCCAAACTCATGATTTAAAAAAATCTATTCAAATTATACAACTCTTAGGAAAACAAAAAGTTCTATTTTACAAAGATTTCTAAAAAGTTGATGATTACAGTTTTATGGGGTTTTTTTTTTGTTTTGTTTTGCTTTTGGTACCAGTCCCGGAGCTTGAACTCAGGGCATGGGTGCTATCCCTGAGGTTTGGTTTTGTTGTTCAAGCCTAGTGCTCTACCACTATATCTACAGCTCCATTTCTGGCTCTTTTGGTAGTTAACTGGAAATAAGAGTCTCATGGGCTTTCTGGCCCAGGCTGGCTGCAAACCATTAATCCTTAGATCTCAGCCTCCTATGTAGTAGTATTACAAGCATGAACCACCAGTGCCCCTAGCACAAGCAGTTTTTTTCCATGCACAAATGACTAAAGTCAAATGTGGGAAATATGAGATGCTACTGTAGGGTTACTGTAGCTGTGCAGGATGCTTCAACTGGGGATGTGGGGAAAAGGTTCGGCTCTGCCTTATTTCTAATAACTGCCTTGGAATCTACAATTCTCTCAAGAAAATTTCAATTTGAGCAGTTTTATAAGAAAATAGATCATGAGTCCTAATTTTTCTAAGCCAGTCTTATGTGCAGTTGAAACTAATCTGTACAAGAGGCAGTCAAGAAGCCAAACTGAAAGGGTTTCATTCTCACAAGTCTTAAAAATATCTGAATCCTGGGGCTGGGAAGGTGGCTCAGTGGTAGAGCGCTTGCCTTGCATGCCTGTGGCCCTGGGTTCGATTCCTCAGCACCACATAAGCAAAAAGAAAAAAGCCAGAAGTGGCGCTGTGGCTCAAGTGGTAGAGCGCTAGCCTTGAGCTGAAGAGCTGAGGGACAGCGCCCAGCCCAGAGTTCAGGCCCTATGATTGGACCCCAAAAAAAAAAAAATCTGAATCCTGGGATCTATTTGTAGATCCTACTAAGACACTATTGGTCAGTTATTATGGACTTGTATTGATAAGGTGTTTTTGAACATTAAATCCTTTCTAGTGCTGTCTATAGATGTAAATACAGACAACTTACATGGCCAACATTAGAATTTAAAAAACATTATTTTTCCTTTATTTAAAAAATCTATAGTAAAGATATAATGCAAGATCTCATAAGTCAATATAAGGAGATGATAGCTAAATGCCTGTTTAGCTGCATATTCATTCACTTCAGTAAACTTCTGTTGTGGCCTACAAAATGCTAAGAGCCAGGTAAACAAACTGAAGCGGGTACAGGATCTTCAGTCTGATGGAGGAGGGCCAACATCAGAGCCAGCACATACATGCTCTCTATTTCTTCCTTATGATGTTACATGAACCACCAAGCTACTGATTTTAAAGTCTAAAAAATCCTATTGCATGGTTTTAGTTACTTTTATTAGGTTTCTAAAGTTTTTTTTAGTCTATCAGGTTTTGCAATGCTGGGGACCAAACCCAGGGACCCATATATGGGAGGTAAGAGTTCTACCACTGAGCCTCATCCCCAGCCCTTTTTTATTTTCAGACATAAAGTCACCCAGTCTGGTCTCTAAATTTGTGATCCTTCCACCTCAGCCTCAAAAGCAGATGGGATTATAAGCTTACACCACCACACCTGGCTGCATGTTCTTTAAAGATTCATAGAAAGCTACATTTCATCATTTTCCTTACAACTACTATTTTGTCTCATTCTCAGAAATTCTATTCAGAATAGGAACAAATAAACACTCCTTACCCCAGAGACTTCCAATCCAATCCATCTTCTCAGCACACGCATTGTTCAATGGTTCCAACTTGGCAACTTCAGCCTGGTGCTGTGCAAAAGCTAGCTGGCCAATATGAAAAGGGAACTATGAAAGGCTGCTGAGAAGAAGGCTCTGTCTTCACATCCCCAAAACCGCAGCTCAAAGTGTCTACCATTCATACAAATCAGATTGTTTACAGATTTTTAACAGAAAAGAAGATTTTTTTTTTTCCCGCCAGGTGCCAGTGGCTCACGTCTATAATCCTAGCTACACAGGAGGCTGAGATCTTAGGATCATTGTTCAAAAGTCAGCCCAGGCAGAAAAGTCCCTGTGAGACTCTAGTCTCCAATTAACTACTCAGAAACCAGGAGCAGAGTTATGGCTCAAAGTAGTAGAGTACTAACCATGAGCAAAAGAGCTCAGGGATAGCACCCAGGCCCTGAGTCCGAGTGCCATGACTGACCAAAAACAAAACAAAACAAAACATCTTTTTTGTGTATTGGTCTTAGGGCTTAATAAATTCAGAGCTAGGCACTGTCCCTGAGCTTTTGCTCAAGGCTAGGGTTCTAACACTTGAGCCACAGCACCTCTTCTGGCTTTTGGATAGTTAATTGGAGATAAAAAAAAAAGCCAGCCTGGAGCCCGGTGCTGGTGGCTCACACCTGTAATCCTAGCTACTCAGGAGGCTGAGATCTGAGGATGAGGTTCAAAGCAAGAAACTCCGTGGTACTCTTATCTCCAACTAACCACCAGAAAATCTGAAGTGAAGCTGTGGCTCAAGTGGTAGAACATTCACCCCAGCTGAAGAGCTGAGGGACAGTGCCCAAGCCCAGAGTTCAAGCCATACCACCAACAAAAAAAAAAAAAAGCCAGCCCAGGTTGGTTTCAAACCATGATTCTCAGATGTTGCCTCCAAAATAACTAAGATTACAGTTGTGAGCCACTGTACCAACTAGAAATGTATAATCTTTTTAAAGACATAAAAGACTAAGCATAGTCTTAGTGCAACAAGGATAAAGAATTAAGTATAACTGCCTGTTTTGTACATAATTATGAAAGAAAACTTATTAAAGATTTTATTGCAGCCAGTAGTACTCACTAGACACTGTTAAAAGAAAAAACTATGCTGCAAATTATACAACTTGAAGGGGAGTGGGACTGGGAGGGAAAAAACTGGGAGAAAACAAGGGTAGCGGTGACACTGTTCAAAAAGAAATGTACCATAAACTCTCTGAACATCACCTTTACAATAAAAAAAATTAAAGATTTTTAAATTAGTTTAAATATGACTTATACCACTGAAAAATTAGTTTAAAAGCAGTTTTTAGTACTTGAAATACAGCTATCCAAATTAAATGACTATTTCTTCCTTTTTTTTTTTTGGGGGGGGGGGGGGTCGGTTGTGGGGCTTGAACTCTGGCCCTGAGTGCTGTCCCTCAGCTCTTCAGCTCTTGCTCTACCACTTGAGCTGCAGCGCCACTTTCAGTTTTCTGGTGGTTTACTGGAGGTAAGAGTCTCATGGACTTTCCTGCCGGGACTGGCTTTGAACTGCAATCCTCAGATCTCAGCCTCCTGAGTAGCTAGGATTACAGGCGTGAGCCACTGGCGCCCGGCTCTCTCCCATTTTTGTAATTCATGGTGAAATGGTGTTTTGCTCTGGATGGTTTTGAGTAAATGATCTCTAGTGCAGCTGCCCTCATATTCATAACGTCTGTATCTACAGAGCAGAACCCCCAAGCCGCATATGGCTGACAAGTTCCAACTGCTGCCTTCCACCCACATCTGAGGCAAGACTGCTCTATGTGGATTAGTGTTTATTGCAGACTTGAAAATAAAAAAAATAATAATCCTAAAACTTATTTTGAGGCTCCACTTATACAATACCTTATACAAATATATCCAATTCCATCCAAAACTGAAGAGAAAACTGATGAAGAACACTCGTCTCAGTTGGGTATACCACCGGACGTACGTCCAGAGCTCAGTCGCTACCAACACAACGATACAGAGCAGACACAGAAGGACCTGAAAATAGAAGCAGAGTCAGCCAGCGGCAAGCCAGCCTACCTGCCAGAAAACCCCAGCCATCAGCCAAACAACAGGACTCAAATACACAAAATCATGTGTGTGATTTCACTGTCTGTTCATCACTGAAATGACTAAATACAGGCTCTTGTGGTAAACATTGTAAAAAAAAAATTGTAAAAAAAAGGGAAGGTAAATAGTGTGTAGATTATATTTTATGTGCATAATAAAATAATATATACACATGTCTAATGAACCAATGTGAAAAACAAAAATATCTGTGAAACCATTTTAAAAAATGATCTCATCTTACCATTAACACATTATATGGATCCACTCCAAAGTAATCTTCAAATCGCCACTTCCATGTTTCAAAATCATGAAACTTGAAGTTTATTAAAATATCACTCAGCGCATCATCCAAGGCTCCTGACTTCCATTCCTCTCCACTGAGAAATTTCTGTATTTCTAGTAAAGTTTGTCTTTTAAGGATAATTTCAGCATCATAATGCATATCACCGTTGTTTTCATCAGGCTGAATTAAATTTACCAAAAACCAAACAAAAGAAAGGAGAATTTTATTATTATAATACTCATTGAAGCATTAAAAGCCAGTCTGGAACTAAGTATATCATTTGTTTGCTACTCCAATACAGCAAAGGAGAGAAATAAGTACAATTACAATATTTTACACATTTTAGAAAACACATACAAAATACTATGTGTCTTCAGGTCCAACATAAAAACCAAAGATGGTATCTGTGAAAACTGGTTTAAAATTATAATCTAGTGCTAATGGCTCACGCTTGTAATTCTAGCTACTAAGGAGGCTGAAAGCTGAGGATCACAGATTGAAACCAGCCCAGGCAGGAAAGTCTATTAGACTCTTTTCTCCAATTAGCCACCAAAAAAATCCAGAAATGGAGTTGTGGCTCAAAGTGGTAGAGCTCTAACCTTGAGCATAAAAGCTCAGGGACAGTGCCAAAGCCCTGAGTTCAAGCCACAAGACAGGCAACAAAAAAGAAACAAGAAAATTAGAGAACTCTATACAAGAGAGACACAGCAAATTTTACTAGAATACAATTGACTCTTGCTACATGTTGCTCTAGCTACAGTTGCTCTTGATACTTTTATATAATTTTGTATGTATGTATATCTGTGACATTTAATGTATATTGTTGATTTACTCCCATTAAACCACAGCCAACAGTCAATCTGACAGAGCTTAGCTAATGCAGGTATCTTCCCTGTAAGGCAAACTGTCACTGACTTATATCTAGAAACATTACAAAGCATTTCAACTATACACCGCCTCCAAAGTATGAAGAAAATAGCACAGTGAAGACAGCAGAAAATCAATCACACTAAATACAGCTGAAAAATACAATGGTTTGCAGTACTAAAGCAGAAATGAGAAGGCAGGAGTGTCACTGCCTTGTTCCGCTGGGAATGGGGCATCAGCCAATTCCAACTTTTGGCCACTCTGCATGTGCCCAGGATGAACCACAAAATTACCTCAAGTATTGATTTTGAAATAAAAAAATAAATGTAGCCGGGCGCCAGTGGCTCACAACTGTAATCCTAGCTACTCAAGAGGCTGAGATCTGAGGATCATGGCTCAAAGCCAGCGCAGGTGGAACGTTGAGAGACTCTTTATCTCCAATTAACCACCAGAAACCAGAAAGTGGAGTTGTGGCTCAAGTGGTAGAGTGCTAGTCTTGAGCTGAAGAGCTGGACAACATCCAGGCCCAGAGTTCAAGCCCTATTACCGACAGAAACTAATTAATTAATTTAGTGACTAGTTAAGTTCATCAATATGAAATCTGCAAATCATGATTGCATCTAAATTTTACAATTGCTTATGACTTGTCATTGGGTATAAAATTTTCATGTAGCCTAAAATGAAAAGAAGTTCAAATTATAAACAATAGCTAATACAAATAAGCACTCTATTTTTTATAAGAGTAAATATAATTTTTTTTTTTTTTGTCGGTCGTGGGGCTTGAACTCTGGGCCTGGGCGCTGTCCCTCAGCTCTTCAGCTCAAGGCGAGCGCTCTACCACTTGAGCTACAGCGCCACTTCTGGTTTTCTGGTGGTTTATTGGAGATAGGAGTCTCACAGTCTCTCCTGCCCGGGCTGGCTTTGAACTGCGATCCTCAGATCTCAGCCTCCTGAGTAGCTAGGATTACAGGCGTGAGCCACCAGCGCCCGGCTGTAAATATAATTTTTAAAGAACCAATATAAAAAACTTTACATATTCAGAAAGCATAACAATGTTATCATTGACTTTTTTTTTTAATTGGGGATTATGTCCAAATTCTCCTCTCACCTTATGGTACTGACGACTGAAAGTTACCGCTTCCAGCATGCCACTGAGCAGCATCCTCAGCCTCAATCTCTATCCTAAGTATTTTCTAGCTCCATCCGTTTCCTCATCTAGGCTCTGTTCCACTCTGTACACAGCTCTAAGACTTAAATCAGAAAATTTACAAGCCAAGTGTGGTGGCATAAGCCACACTTAAGTTATTCATCTAACTCCTTCCACAAAGATTTGGCCCCCAACCCTAGATCAATCCTGGTAACATATGTGATAAGAGGGAAAATCTGTATGCTTAAAAATGTGCTCCTAAAAAAGGGACTATGTTCACATTCTGGGTTCAGGCCCCAAAATTGACACACACACACACACAAAAATTCTGGTGTACACATACAAAAAAAAAAGCATAGACACGGTAGACAAGAAGTAGTGAGAGGTTGGAAATGTGGCTTTAGTGGTAGAGTGCTTGCCTAACATGCATGAGGCCCTAGGTTCGATTCTTTGGTAACACACACACAGAAAATGCCAGAAGTGGCGCTCTGGCTCAAAAGGTAGAGTGCTAGCCTTGAGCAAAAAAGAAGCTCGTGCCCAGGCCCTGAGCTCAAGCCCCAGGATAAAGAAAAGAAAAGAAAAGAAGAGGGGAGGGGAGGGGAAGGGGAAGAGGAAGAGAAAGGGGAAGAGGAAGGGGAAAAGAAAGGAAAGGAAGTAGTGAGGTGAGGGCAGGGTTAGCACTCTGCTCCTCACCTCTGTTAGTGGCCCAGTACAACACACATGATTAAACTAACTTTCAAGGGGTAAGATGAGTGGTCTGCTGTAAACCATAGCAAAGCATGCTGCTACCTTTCATTTTGAAGGAACTGCTTTTAGGAAAGATCGAGGCAGGTATTCTACTAAAGTACAATAATCCTTTATCACTTCTTTTTATTATCTAATATTAATAATGGAAGTACACACTATGCTGATTAACAAGCCCAAATACTCACAAGTCCAAGCTTCCCAGCTTCAATTAAAATCTTATGTAAGTATCTCCTAAAAACAGGATTGCTTTGACTTTCATAGTCTTCCTTCTTTTTCTTTTCACATTCATCAATCTGTAAAATACAGTAAGTTCAACATTAGTTAGCATTCAAATTTAATGTAAGAATTCTAGCCTGGAGGGGCTGGGAAGGTGGCTCAGTGGTAGAGCGCATGCCTTGCATGCCAGAGGCCCTGGGTTCGATTCCTCAGCACCATATAAGCAAAAAGAAAAAAGCCGGAAGTGGTGCTGTGGCTCAAGTGGTAGAACGCTAGCCTTGAGCTGAAGAGCTGAGGGACAGCACCCAGGCCCAGAGTTCAGGCCCCATGACCGGACCCCCCCCTCCCCCCATAAAAAAGAATTCTAGCCTGGAGCTAAGTGTGTGACTCACATCTATAATCCTAGCTACTCAAGAAACTGAGATCTGAAGATCACAGTTCAAAGCCAGCCTGGGTAGGAAAGTCCTGGAGACTTTTATCTCTCATTAACCACCAAAAAGTCAGATATAAAGCTGTGGCTCAAGTGGTAGAGTGCCTTAAGTGAAAAAGCTAAGGGACAGTTCCCAGAGTTGTGTTCAAGCCCAAGTACCAGCATGAGAAGAAAAAAAAAAAAAAGCCTGTTGCCAGTGGCTCACACTTGCAATCCTAGCTACTCAGGCAGCGGATATCTGAGGATCATGGTTCAAACCCAAGCTAGCCAAGAAAGTCCAGGAGACTCTTATCTCCAATTAACCTCTCAAAAACCAGAAGCAGTGCTGTGGCTTAAGTGGTAACAGTGCTAGCCTTGAGCACAAAGAGGCTCAGAGAGGACACCCAGGCCCTGTGTTCAAGCCTGCAATCAACAGGAAAAAAAAAAAAGTCATTCTGGCTGGGTACACTAGCTCCTGCATGTAATCACACCTAACTATTGAAGAAGCAGAGTTCTGAAGGATTATGGTACAAGGCCAACCTGGGCAAAAAGTTCACAGAGCAAAGGCAGTAAAACAAATGATATAAACAATAATTTAAGAATAAAAAAAATCTAACCTTATAAATTAAAGAATCAAGTCTGAGATAACATTTAGATAATTCATCAGCATTTGATAAGTCAGGACTGACATCCTTCTTTTCGGATATATCATATTTCACCTAAAACAAAATAGATTTTATTACCTTTTTGAGTGCAAATGTTTATTACATTTTGGGGAGAATGATGGAAGAGGTGACATTGATCAAGATACATTGTACTTATAAACTGATTTGTTAGACTGAAACCCCTTTGTACAATTACTTAAATATAGTAAAAACTAAAACTTAAAAATGTCTATCACAGCATTATTGTATCAACCCAAAAAGTATACAAAGATCTGCCAGCTAACATTTAGATAAAATTTAAAAATGGTACATTATCAGCAATAAGCAGAGATGCAGTGGTAATATACATTACAGCATAAGCTTTAAAAGACATTATGATTATGCTAAGCAAAAGAAATCAGACCAAAGACATTTTATTACATGAATCTTTTAAGATCTTATTTCTTCATAGTTTAACTGTAAAAACTGTCTTTGGTGAATAAAGACTAAAATTTTAATTTTTATCTTTAAGATTTTGCTACATTCTCACTTGAATACACACACACACAAAAAGTCTCAAATGTACATGCTAAAAAATAAAATAAAAATTAGCTTACTCTTTGATGGACTTTAACGTTCAATTTAAAACATAACTAACCACATGGATTTGAAATGTCTTACAGTTGAGAATGTCGTGATTAGCATGATTAGCATGGTTGCTAATCATTTCTACATGACACTCATAAGCTCTGAGATAATAAAGGTAGAGCATTTCCTCACAGGACTGAAATGTCTTACACACTAACACGCATACACACACCATGCATTTTATAAGTAAATACCTGAGATTTTCTCATTGTTCCTGAAGCAGCATCGTAATTAAGCATGTCTGTGGGGTCAATCCAGTCATCATCATGAGCATAACCAGCTACCAGAAACAGACATTCACAAAGGAGCAGAAAACACAGCATCCTGTATGAGGCTATAAACAATTGATATGTTGAAATACAAAACAAGCCATTTAAAATAAACTGTTTTATAATAAAAACTACTTCTAGTGTTAAGATAACGCTTTGTAGCCAGGCGAGGGTGGCTCAAGCCTATAATACTATTTAGGAGGCTAAGATCTGAGGATCACAGTTCGAAGCCAGCCTGGGCAGGAAAGTCCATGAGACTCTCATCTCCAATTAACAACCAGAAAAGCAGAAGTGACACTGTGGCTCAAAATGATAGAGCATTAACTAGCCTTGAGCGGAAAAAGCTCAGGGACAGTGCCCAGGCCAAGTTCAAGCCTACAGCCAACCAACAACAACAACAACAAAGAAAGATAATCCTTTCTGAGTAGTAACTAAGAACTGTACATGAAAGAAAAGGAGTAAAATGGTATTCTCATATAAAAATATACATATATAACAATATTCTCATTGATATAGAAAAATAAGTATTTCCAATATGGTCCTACCATCCCATCTCTTAATTATACACCCAAGAAAAATGAAAATATATGTCCCCACAAAAACTTGTACAAAATAGCATAAAAGCATAAACAGCCTGAAAGTCCATCTACTGATGAACAGGTAAATTTCCTACAGCCATACAATAGATTTAACCATAAAAAGAGAATGAAGTGCCTATATCATGCCATACACGAATGGATCTTAAAACTGTTATGCTGTGTGAAACTATTATGTGCCATGTGTCACATGAGACCATACTATTAAATAATCCTAGGTATATGAAATGTCCAGATAGACTTCAAGCCTGCAATCCTAGCAAAGGAGGAAGGTATCAGGTGAGTCACACATCAAAGCCAGTAGGAGCAAAAAAAAGTTCGTAAGACCTCAACCAATAAAAGCTGGGCGTGGTGGCACTCACCAGTCATCCCAGCTATGAAGGAAGCAATTTAGATTACTTCTCTGTGCTCCTATGAACCCTGTGTATTCTTTTAATACCACACTCAGTGACACAGTCTTTATTGGAATGTCTCTTCCACTAACAAGGAACACTCAACTGTACTGCACACTGGAGTCCCAAGAAACTTCAAAAACAACTAGTGTGAAGTCTTTTCTACACCAACTAAGTCAGCAATGTTCAAGACTGGTGCCCCGGTAACTGAGATTTTTAAAACACCATAGTTGATTCCATTGTTTGGCCAAGGCCAAAAACCATAGCACTAAGTGAATTAATTCCTCTGTGCAAAGATAACACTTTACCCAAATCTAAACTCACCTTCGTCACTAACCTCTTCATCCCCCGAGCCCAATGCCCAGTTCCATGGCTGGCAAATGAAGTGTTTAATAAATAGTAATCTCTAAAATAAAAAGCAAACAGCTGGGCCAGAGGTGGCCCAGCTCACGTAGTAGAGTGCCAGCCACACAAGGAGGCTCAACAAGTACAAATCCCCAAGGTCAAAAAGAAATTGTAAATGTAAAAGTGAATATGGTGAGGAACAAAGATAAAGAGGTAGGCTGAGCTGATGTTGTTAACATATAAAGCTTATTACTAACTGCACCTGCTAACAAGCTCTTAAGAGTAATGGAAGCAGCCAGGTGCTATATCTGAGGATTGTGGTTTGAAGGCAGTCAGGGCAGGCAAAGTCTGTGAGACTCTTTTTTTTTTTTTTTTGGGGGTCCGGTCGTGGGGCCTGAACTCTGGGCCTGGGCGCTGTCCCTCAGCTCTTCAGCTCAAGGCTAGTGCTCTACCACTTGAGCCACAGCGCCACTTCCGGCTTTTTTCTTTTTGCTTATGTGGTGCTGAGGAATCGAACCCAGGGCCTCGAGCATGCAAGGCAAACGCTCTAACACTGAGCCACCTTCCCAGCCCCTCTGTGAGACTCTTATCTCTAATTAACCACTCCTTCCCCCTCCCCCGCAAAAAAAAGCAAAAAATGGAGCTGTGGCTCAAGTGGTAGAGTTCTATCTTTCAGCAAAATAGCTTAGGGACAGCAACTAGGCCTTCAGTTCAAGCCCCAGGACTGGGCACCCCCCCCCCAAAACACACACACACACCTCAAAAAATAAGAGTAATGGAAGCTACTTTATCAGATCAAATTTCTACTGCAGCAAGCACCATGCTTAATAGCAAATACTAAAAACTTCTGAGATCACGAATGGGACAAAGTAAAAGGTACTAGAGGGCTCTGGGACAGCACATTGTTTCATTTCTTAGAACACATGGATTTTCACTTTGTAACAATGTGCTAGTAAGGATACACATTTATATTTTATACACTTTTCTATATATATGTTATATTTCATATTTTAACAAGAGGTTTCTCTGTTGTTTTTGTCATTACTGGGGCTTTAACTCAGGGCATAGAGATCTGACTTGGCTTTTTCACACAAGACTGGCTGCCTTATCATTTAAGCCACAGCTCCACTTGTTTTTTTGCTGGTTAACTGGAGACAGGAGTCATAGACTGCTCTGCCAGGCTGACTTGCACTCAGAATCCTCAGATTTCAGCCTCCTGAAGGATTACATATGTGAGCCACGAGAGCCTGACAACATTGTGCTCATTTTAAATGAGCACAAGACTAATTATTATATTGTTACAGGCTAAATGTTATCTCCTTCCCTCCCCAAAAATTCATGTGCTGAAGTCCTAACTCCTAGTACATTAGAATGTGACTACATTTAGAGATAGGGTGTTTGTGAGTGTGGCAGGGTCTGGCTGTAGAGCCAGGAAGGTCTCAAACTCACTCTTCTGCCTCAACCTCCCAAATGCTGGAATTACAGGCATGAACCACGGTCCCAGGCTTAGGATCTTTAGGGAAGTAAATCATAATAAGGTGCATAAAACAGGCCTAGACCAAGATGAGTGGTACCCTTCTAAGAGGAAGAAATCTGAAAACTCACGAGTCAGAGGTAAGACAATGTGAAGACATGACCACTGACAAGCCAGAGATAGGTCTTGAGAAGAAATCAACCCTGTCATACCTTGCTTTATCTGCTAGCCCTCAGAATTGTAGGAAAATTTGTTGTTCAAGCTACCTATACCACAGTACTTTATGACAACCCTAGAAAACTGTCAATTTCTTCAGATATGAAAGACTAAAAATGTCTTCAACCCAGGTTCATATATTAAAAGTTTGAAGCCAGGTGCTGATGGCTTATACCAGTAATCCTAGGAACTCAGGAAGCTTTGATGATCAAAGCTAACTTGAGCAGGAAAGTTTGACAGATCCTATCTCTAACCAGAAAAAAGCAGGGCTGGATGGAGGCTTGCCAGCCTTTGGCAAGCGTAAGACCCTAAGTTAAAACTTCAAAATGGGAGAAAAAAGTCTGACCACAACAAGAAAATGAGCCAATAAACAAAATGATGATGAAAGTCTGAACTGATCAAATTACTAATAAATTCAACTAACTACTGACAGCTTTTAAAGTTTTGTGTTTAAACACGTAAAGTCAAGCCAGGGACGGTGGTTCACACCTTTAATGCTAGCAACTCAGGAATCTGAGATCTGAGGATCATGGTTGAAAGCCAACCCAGGCAAGAAAGCCTGTGAGACCCTCATCTCTAATTAATCACCAAAAACCCGGAAGTGGAAGTGTGGCTCAAGCTGTAAAGCCTTGAGCAAAAAAAAAAAAAGTTCAGGGACAATGCTCAGGCTCTGAGCTCAAGCCCCGGAACTGGCACAAAGTAAAAGAAAAGGGGAAGGAAGAAGGGAGGGGAGGAAAAAGAAAAGAAAGTCAACTGGAGGCCTGGCTCAGTGGTAGAGCACCTATCTACGTAGCTCCAAGCCTTCAAACCCCAGTATCATTAAAAAAAAAAAAAAGTAAAAAAAGAATACGAACGTCACAGCCATGCCCTGGAGATGCACAAACACTGAACAGACCTTATTAGAAAGAAAACTAATAACAAAAAAATCTCCACCAAGTGTTAAGGAATAAAGCTTTGAAAGAATGAACAACAGAGAGTAAGCTAAAAACTACAAGGTAATAAAGCCAAAGACAGGCTTACTTTAGAAGTTTTAGTCATATCAATTACTTCAGAGAAGTAGAGAATAAAGTCTGATATAAGGCCACTGGATTAGTTAATTAATGATTTACAAACAAAGAATAACAGGGAGAAGCCTTATTCTTAAGAGGCTAGAATGTACATGACAGAGTATATAAGGGGAATTGAGCCCAAGAAGATGAGGTATGGTATTAAGTAGACAGTGACTTGTTCCAAAAGGAGTATCACTGTTGGGGGAGAGAGAGGATGTTGGGGTGAGGGTAATGGAGATTTGGAAAACAAGCCAAAGAAGGTCACTAGGGGTTTAGCTCAAGTGCTTATTTGCTCAGAGAGCTCCAGGCTCTGGATTCAATGTCCTATTCTGAAAAAGAATATAAATGGAAAGCTTGTCACACACCCCAAAGTCCTACCATTAAGCACTATGCTATTTTCTTCAATAATCATCAGCAGATGCAGAAATTTTGCCAAGACTGAGAAGGGCAATTTATTACTAATGGAAGATCAGAGGTGAGAATCAGCTGAAAATTCAAGCTCTCCTGTCAAATTCCCCTGGAAACTAGTTTAAGTCTATAACTCTGACACATCTTGTAACTGATCTCAAACTCCCTCCATCAAAGCTGGATCCAAACCTGCAGAGTATTTTGTTAAAAAGTAAAATTCTCACTACATTTATCCAAAAGATACAATAAAGGATACAATAAAGGTACCGGCACATCTATATAGGTTCATTGCTGCATTATTCACCTCAGCCAAGTTATGAAAACAGCCCAGATGCCCTACAACTGATACTGATGAATCATGAAATTGTGGCATATATACATATGAAATAGAATTCTATTCATCCATCAGGAAGACTTGCAGAGAAATGGACAAAAAAATATGTTGAATGAAGTCAGGCTCAGGGACAACAAAAGGGTACACATGCATGTATATACAATCAAATGGACTAAAGTATGGTATACACAGAGGTGAGTTTTGGTCTCTTTGAACAATTTAACAAAATGAACACCAGAAAGCTGCTGGCTCACACCTCTAATCCTAGCTACTCAAGAGGCTGAGATCTCAGGATCTCAGTTAAAAGTCAGATTGGGTAGAAGTCTGTGAGGCTCTTATCTCCAATTAACTAATAAAAAGCTGGAAGTGGAAGTGTGGTTCCAGTGATAGTGCACCACTTGATAAAAGCCAAGTGACTGCTGGCACAAACAAAAAAATGCTGAAACATACTTTGTATGTGCAGCTTTAGGGGAGGAGGGTAGATGAAATGGGAGGGGCAAATACAGCCACAGTACAATGTACATACTATAAAAATGGAACCAAGAAACTTGAGGAAACTTGTGGGGGTTGGGATAGGAGGGTGGAGGAGAATGAGGGAAGTGGTGACAATAATCAAGATACAACATACATGTAAAGAGATATATTGAATTGAAACCTTTTGTACAGCTAAAGATAATTTTTTTTAAATTTTTAAACAGCTAGGAGCTAATGGCTCACGCCTGTAATCCTAGCTACTCAGGAGGCTGAGATCTGAAGATCATGGTTCAAAGCCAGCCCGGGCAGGAAAGTCTATGAGAATCTTATCTCCAATAAACCACCAGAAAACCGGAAGTGGCTCTGTGGCTTAAGTGGTAGAGTGCTAGCCTTGAGCTGAAGAGCTGAGGGGCTGTGCCCAGGCCCAGAGTTCAAGTCCCACAACCGACCAAAAAATAAGTAAATAAAACAACAGCAAAGAAAACAACACATGGTGAAACACACCTGTAATCCCAGCACTTGGGAAGCTGAGACAGGAGGCTTGCCTGCATGAGGCCATGCGGGGGTGAAACCGGGTCTCAGGAAAAATAAAAATGATTCTAATATCAAATTAAGGTAAACGTTAAGATCCTGTGTGTGCAACAATGATACCCACAAGAGACAATGTTGGACATGAACTTTACAACTTGCGAAGGGGGGGGAAGAGGAAAGAAGGGATAGGAGAAAAACAAAGGAGGGGGTAACAATGCTCCACAAGAAATGTACTCATTGCCTTACTCCTGTAACTGTAACCCCTCTGTACAGCATCTGTACAATAAAATAAAAAGATCCTGTGTTTCTAACAAATCTCCTAATCACAGTGTCACAGATGTCCCCCATAACACCATGATCACTTTGGTTGGGGTCAGTGTAAAGTAAAAGTAACCATTCTAAATCAGATGTAACGGGCACATACTGTGATCCCAGCACTGGAGAAGTCGAGACAGGAAAATCACAGTTCAAGGAAACTATGGGAAGCCTTGTCTCAACATCAATCTTGCACTCAGGGCCTGGGCGCCGTCCTTTAGATTTTTGCTAAAGGATGGTGCTCTACGACCTTGAGGCACAGCTGTACTTCCAGCTTTGGGGTGGTTAACTGGAAAGTGGTCTCACAGCCTGGGCTGCCTTCGAGCCACCAGCGTCTGTTTGCCTCACACTTTAGTAACTAATATTTTGTTACACACTCATTTAACCCACACAAAAACCCGCTAAACGCGCATCTTCATGTTGTACATCAGAAAAGGCAGGAATATACCTAAAGCCCACGGAGCCTGTAAGTGGTCAGGGCGAAGTACCCGTGGCCAGGCGTTTTCCCTTTAGGGGTGTCAGGGTGGACCCCAGGGAAGGAGGGCGGGGAGCCACGGAAAAACTACCAGGCCGACCAGCACGGCTACAGCCAGCCGCGGAGCGGAAACCCGCAAAGAAGCCTCTGAGTTCAGCCCCTTCACCGTGGTAGAAAGCAGAAGTAACCAAGGCCCCACGGACTCCACAACGGCGCTGGTCTGGAAGCCAGAGGTTTGCGAGGCCGCGCACGCGTGTTCGCGCAGGCGCCTGGAGCGGTGACGTCAAACTTGCGACCCTGCTGGTTACTTCGGACGTATTCCCCGACAGTGAGCGCGCGCGCGAGTCTCGGGAGCGCGCCGGGGCCGCCGGCCCTGCCTCCCACCCCGCCGCGCTCCGCACGCGGGCGCACGCAGCGCCTCACTTTCCACACTCGAGTGGGCGGGGAGCTTTAGAGAGTCATGACATCCAGTCCGCGAGACGTGACGGGGAGAACTTGTTGAAATGATCCCTCAAGTCTTCAGAGATAACCGAAAGCCAACGAAGTCCACCGTCCGCTGCGGTCGCGCGGGGCGCGCGGGCTACAGCCGTTTCCCGGGCCCGCGCAGGCCGGAACCGGCCGCGGCCTCGGGTCACCGCCCCGCCCGGGAACGCCTGCGGCCTCCCCCGCCCACCCCCCACCCCCCGGGTTGCGCCTCACCCCGCCAAGCCCGGAGCCCCAGCGGCCGCGCAGACTCACGAGCGAGGGTCCCGCCGGCCGACCCCGGAAGACACCGGCCTGACAGACGGGAGAAGGTGACGAGCGCGCGCTGCGCTAGCCCGGCCGCGTCTTCCGATCGACTCGCTCCGTCAGCGGCTGTGCGCCCTTCCCGCGCTCGCCGCTGATTGGCCGCGATGGAGGGGCGGGGCAGACCCCAGGGTGGGTTGGAGGCCTGGGTTTGGCTAGTACCGAATCCTCTCGGCAGATCAGTTTCTATGTGCCACTCATATGTAGTAAACGGCTGTAAAGCGTGTTTTCTTATTATTAGTTTGTTTTATAAATTCTGGCATAGAACATTTGCAATAAAGCCGCAAATCTATTCTGAGCATAATTTTTTTTTTCAAATAGGGGATAACAATAGTCCTGTATTGGGGCTGCCAAATGAGGCTGTACCATAAAGTCCTTGGAAATGATGTTTCCTAGGTGTGTGTGTGTGTGTGTGTGTGGCCACCCGTATTGTGGCCTGACCTCAAGGCCTAGGAGTTATCCTTTAAGCTTTGTTGCTCGAGGCTGATGAGGCTGATGCTCTACCTCTTGAGTCACTCCTGGCTTTTTGCTCGTTAATTGAAGATAATGGCTTCTCACACCCATCCTCAGATCTCAGCCTCCTTAGTAGGCGTGAGCCACCAGTACCCAGCCTATCTAGGCCACTTTTAAGGACACACGTTACCCAACTATCAACATCATTTCTGAATTCTTCACTTTGCAAAACGGAAACTCTGTATATCCTAAATAACTGGCCCAGTCTTCCCTCCTTCCCTTTCCCTATCTCTGATACCTCATATAAATGGAATAATACATTTGTATTTTTGCAACTGTCTTCTTTCACTTAGCATAATGTCCCTGAGATTCCTCCACGGTTTAGCATGACGGAATTCCCTTTTTAAAGGCTGGATATCCCATCATATGTATTTTCCATAGCCATATTATTCACAGCTCTTCAGAAGAACAGAACCAACAGAATTAAGAGGGAATTTACTGAAGGCATTGAAATCCACTAGAAAGTCACTGGGACAAGTCAGCAAGTTCAAAGGCTGAATCAACTGGAGTCTGAGGTCCATTAGGAAAGAAAACAAACAAAAAACACTTTCAAAAAGAATTAAATTTGTGACTGGAATCTTACTCCTGCTTTTTTGTTCTATCTGGCCCCCAAACTATTCGGTGGTGCCCCTCCCCAATTCGAAGTGTTTTTTTGTTTTTGTCGGTCCTGGGGCCTGAACTCTGGGCCTGGGCACTCTCCCTCAGCTCTTCAGCTCAAGGCAAGCACTCTACCATTTGAGCTACAGCGCCATTTCTGGCTTTTTCTGTGTATGTGGTGCTGAGGAATCAAACCCAGAACCTCATGCATGAAAGACAAGCACTTATCATTGAGTCGCCTTCCCAGGCCTCAAAGTGGTTTTCTAAGGCAGAGCAGATATGGAGATAGAAAGAATAAAATTAATAAATATTAAAAGGTCCAGACTCAGTCATTAGAACACTGAAACTAAAAAAAAACTAATAAAAAAAGTTTTAAAAAGCAATTAGCAGGCGGGCACTGGTGGCTCATGCCTGTAATCCTAGCTACTCAGGAGGCTGAGATCTGAGGATCATGGTTCAAAGCCAGTGCGAAAGTCCATGAGACTCTTATCATCAAAAACCACCAGAAAACTGGAAGTGGTGTTGTGGCTCAAGTGGTAGAGCTTTAGCCTTGAGCTGAAGAGTTGAGAGACATCACTACATCACTCAGGCCCAGAGTTCAAGCCCTGCAACTGACAAAAAAAAAAAGCAATTAGCTCCCTCCCATCTACTTTTATATGTCAGCAAAATTAGGAGACACAAAGAAACAACTATCTGCATGGGGCTTCTTCTTCAAGGTGTTAAAATGCTACAAGTATCTGTTATGGGGAAAAGAGTTCACCACTCAGAGACAGTCTCATGCAAAAAGATGACTTTATTGGGGAAGTGAATAGCTGACTGGCCAGGGACACAGCACAGATTCGGGAGCTGAAACTGTGACCCCCAACAGCCCACAAGCTAGAGTTTTTAAAGGCAAAATCCATGTGGTCAAGTCTGGCCACACGCAGATGGCCAACGGAATTGTGACACACACATAAAGATTGCATATTTATGTCAGTGGCCAATGGGGTTACAGCCCATCTCATAGTAACTGTCTGAACTAACCTATCATTTTGGTTTGAATTGGCCTGTGAATTTGGGGTCCCCACACAAAGCAGGAGGATATTCTTAACTCGTGTGGGCTGTTCATTCCAGAAACATAATGTCATATGCCCCTGCATCTTTGAAGCTTGGGGTTGTTACAAAGACAGCTACAGGAGATTTATTACAAAGATAGCTACAGGAGGATATACAATGTGCACATCGAGGCATCTACTCCCTTGAAGCAGAGGTAATCACTCAGTGGGATGCACTGCCGGTGCCTTTCTAATGAGGCAGGGTATGAGATCGGGCTGAAGTCCATGTGAAACACGTGTTAAGGTCTCCCTTTGAGGCCTTTGTTTTTAGTGAAGAATCAGTTTCTCAGTTTAGTTTTTCTCACACAGTCTGGGACCTTAACAGTCCCCCTACAATCTCCTTGAAAGTTTAGAGGGATAGAAAAATGAGATGCATGTGTTGCAAAAGAAAAGCCTAAAACCCATCTATTGCTTCTATATTTTCAGTAAGCCTGAGACAGCACCAAATGGCATGACCAGGTGTAATCTCTCAGCTCCAAAAGTATAAAAACTACAGATAAAATTAATCACTTTGAGGGGGCTGGGAAGGTGGCTCAGTGATAGAGTGCTAGCCTTCCATGCATGAGGCCCTGGGTTCGATTCCTCAGCACCACATAAGCAAAAAGAAAAAAAGCCGGAAGTGGTGCTGTGGTTCAAGTGGTAGATTGTTAGCCTTGAGCTGAAGAGCTGAGGGACAGCGCCCAAGCCCAGAGTTCAAGCCCCACGATTAGACCAAAAAAAAAAAAAAAAAACCACTTTGAGTCTTTTACTAAAAACAAAAATAAAACATAGGAAACATTCCCAAGCAGGAAATGTTTCTTAAGTGTTTTTTTAAAAAAACTTTATCCTGTTGGGCTGGGAAGGTGGCTCAGTGGTAGAGCACATGCCTTGCATGCATGAGGCCCTGGGTTTGATTCCTCAACACCACATAAGCAAAAAGAAAAAAGCCGGAAGTGGCGCTGTGGCTCAAGTGGTAGAGTGCTAGCTTTGAGCTGAAGAGCTGAGGGACAGCGCCCAGGCCCAGAGTTCAGGCCCCATGAGCTTTTACCCTGAGCACTCTATCACTTGAGCCACAGCTTCACTTCTGGCTTTTTTTTGGTACTTAATTGGAGATAAGAGTCTCATGGACTTTGCTGCCCAAACTAGCTTCAAATCAAAATCCTCAGATGTCAACATCCGGAGTAGCTAGGATTATAGCCATGAGCCACCAGCACCCAGAAAGATAGAGAGTGAGACAGAGAGACAGACAGAGACAGAGAGATAAAGAGAGATCCAACCCAGATTCTACTTCAGACCTATGACCACATTTACTCTAAAATTAACTGGTACATATTAATAAATTGCCCTAAGTTCTAGCCAGGTATCAGTGGCTCATGTCTAATCCTAGCTACTTAGGAGGCTGAGATCTGAGGATTCTAGCAGAAGTCTAGCTGTGGCTCAAATGCTAGAGTTCTGACATTCAGCAAAAAAAAAGTTAAGAGACAGTGCCCCAGCCCTAGGTTTAAGCCTTATTAGTGACAGAAGAGAGGAAGAGAGGGAGAGAGAGATGGACAGACAGACAGAAAAGTTCTGACATTCTATTGTACAGTAGGATGACTACAAGTAATAATGTATTATATACATATATATATATATATATAATATATATATATATATATATATATAAAAGAAATGAACATAGGTATTGAGAAATCACATAGTGATATGTGCCAGTAACTCACACCTGTAACCCAAGTTCTCAGGAGACTGAGATCTCAGGATCGCTGTTTGAAGCCAGTTCAGGCAGGGAAAGTCCATAAGACTTAACTGAAGCTGTGGCTTAAGTGGTAAAGCAAAAACAGCTCAGGGACAGCACCAATGCCCTGATTTCAACCTCCAAAAGAAAAGAAAAAAAATCACATGGTATTCCATAAATATATAGTTTTAGTGTGTTGAAGGAAGGAGGGATCTAAAGAAGAAAAAAAGGAACTAAAATTCCTGCACTTTCTGGAGAGTTCCTGGAAATGGCATGCCCAGAGAAGATTCAGATATGTTTTATCTAAATCCTTGGTAATATCCTTTACAATGAACCTGCAAACTTTCCCCTTAGGAAAAGCAGCTTACAGGAACCATAAAGAAAGAATCTCCCCCTGGAATGTATGGAGAACAAGATGAGAGTTGTGGCAACCATGGAAATGCCCCACCAGGAGGTACTCCCTCTAGAGAAATCTGTTGCAAGGAGCAAGTGACCAACAACCTGGTATGCTCCAGGTTCTGCTATGTATACCCCCTCTGGGCTCTGCTATGCACACCCAAGGCCATTATGTTTCTTGGGCTTCTCAGAGCTGATGACTGAGCACAGCAGGGTGCCGGACCACTCACAACTTCCTCTCACAGATGTCCTATTGGCCTGGGATAAATCAAAGATAAATGGAAACAACAAACCTTGTCCATTCTCAAACTGACAGTGCCCAAATTCACCTACCTGTCTCAAATACCATCCTAAATATATGCCATGGAGAGAAAGCTCTGGATTCTTTGAATGTTTTGATTTCCCGAAAGGAGGGAAAAGTCATTTTTACTTAGTTTAGACAAAATCATTTTGTATTCAAGAAAAATGAAATGGAAGTTTGAGTTGGGAAAAAAATAGCAGTATCATTCATTATTCTTGCCTTACTTTTGTCAAAAATGAAATTTAAAAGAGCCCATTTTCCTACTTTTCAATTACACAAAAACTTGCAGTCATGGTTAAAATGTGTAATATTAAGTATGATGTTAACTTAGGAAAAGATCGTGAACCTACTTTTAGCAGAACTCCTTTCTGCTGCCTCAAAGGGAAAAACTATGTACCTAATGAATGTCCAAAATCAAACTAGATTTTATGTAGAAGTATCAAATCCAACATACTTGGGATGTGAGTTAGAATTTATACATTCATTCAGCAGTGGGGATGGGAGGGATCAAACCTAAGTCCTTACCATGCTGGATAAGCACTTTACCACTGAGGTGCTCTCTCAGCCCTTGCCTTGTTTTTATTAATTAAAAAAAATCACAATACAAGGCTGAGGACATGGCATAGTAGTAGAGCATTTGCCTAGCATATACAAGGGACAATGGAAAACTAAGAAAAAACAGAAAGAAGACATAAAAGTAATGACCTTATCAAGAGTTAAAAAGCATATTAGTAGTAAGAAACTGATTATGACTGGGTGGCCCATCCTGTAATCCTGGCTATTCAGGAGTCTGAAATCTGAGCACTGTGGTTGGAAGCCAACCTGGGCAGGAAAGTATGATCTTCCATTAACCACCAAAAAGCTGGAAGTAAAGCTGTGGCTCAAGTGGTAGAGCACCAGTCTTGAGCAAAAAGAGCTTAGGGAAAGCTCCTAGCTCTGAGTTCAAGCCCCAGTACTGGTACACATATAAAAAAAAGATCATGGAGTTCTTCTATTGGACCCACTTCCACCAAGTAAACTGGAAAACAACACTGGAAATCCACAGACTCTGAGAAACATATATAGTTTCAGTGTCAAGAGATCTTTATTGAAATAAAAGCACAGTTACACGTCTAGTATCCTTTCCACATGTGCACAATAGATTTAAAATGCTTGCTACATACAGTGCACAGACAATTCAATAATTAGTACCAATACAACTGCAGTTGAAAATAAATAAAATAGCCTATTTAATAACTTAAAATTACTGTACAATATGAAAATAAAGATACATAAATGTTAGGATCTACAATGCCATAGAAACAAAATCATTATTCTGTATCACACAAAACAGCATCAGAAAAAAATCCAAGTAAGTTTTTGGAGTGCAAAGTTTAAATTTCCCATTTTTAAATTATCATGCAGACATAGCATTTCAAGACACGCTATGGTCTATGGCAAAGTTTTTAAATTTTAAGAGGAAAATGCTAGCCAGTAAATAATTGCTCCATCAAATATCGCATTGCATACTGCTGCTCTGTACTATTTTTGAAGGAGGTATCTTGTTGCATTCAAGATATTGAAATGAACAAGTTTCTGAAGCAAACACATGAACCTTTAGCCTGAAACAAAATTATGTGACAGGATAATAACCATATCCCTGGGTTTGAGAATCTTTTTAAAAGAAGCCTATACCACATAATGAACTAAGGAGCAGTTTTCCATTCATCTTTAAACTCCATAATGATCCTTAAGTGAAAACAACAATGTATATTTTGGGAGACATAAAATTCTGGCCACTAGAAGAAAAGTGATCAAATATGGGATGGTGAGAAGAGCAAAGTAGAACGTGGTGACATTATATGTAATAATACACTTAAATTCAGTTTCAATGTGTATATAAAAAACTTATCTGAGACTGAGGAATGCATTTAACAAAAAAAAAAAAAACCGTAAACACATTATCCACCTTGACTTGGAGTGCACAACAACAACGTAAGAGCTCTTCTGCAGACTTTGGCAAGGAGACTACACATAGCGGGTGAGCGCAGCACAAGCTCACATGGAAGACAGAAAGCACTGCGGACCACCATCACCCAATACCTCCTACCAACAGGACACAGGGGAATAAAGGGTTTCCTCGTGCTAAACCACTCTCCAACAGTCTGAGTTCTTCAGATTTGGAGTTTTCACAATTCAGTAGTCTTAAGTCTCTGGGCTTCCATAGCACAGACTAACATAGGGTGTACACTAGCCACTGTAAGTCCAGAGGGTTACAGTTCTGTCTGCAGAGGACGACAGGAAGGAGAGGTCCTGGGTGTGCCACCTGCACTGAATCACTTTGTCCTTGTGCTCCCCTACCACCATGATAGGAAGCTGCTTAGTGAGGTCCCCTAAATTAAGAAGAAAAGAATACGTTCATTTTTAAGACAAAATAAGCATTTGCATACATTCTACGACTTCCTGCTTTTTAAATACTATGGTATGTATGTTTTAAATAGGGATAAATCGTGCTAGTAGAACTTGGTAACATACACACTAACATTTGACATGGCTGCTACTTTCTCTGGGCAGCCCCTCCACTTGATTGCACCCTGACTCCTTCTTTGTCCCCCTCTTTGCTGGCTTTTCTTCTCTTCCTAATTTGAAAGATTGTGGAATTCTAACTGTCATCCTGCAGATTTTATCAATTCCTTTTATTTATTTTTTGGCCATAGGCTTGAACTCTGGGCCTGAGTGAGTGCTGTCCCTCAGCTCTTCAGCTCAAGGCTAGCGCTCTACCACTTGAGCCATAGTGCCACTTCCAGTTTTCTGGTGGTTTACTGGAGATAAGAGTTTCACAGCTTAAGCCAAGGCATTGGTGGCTCACGCCTGTAATCCTAGCTACTCAGGAGGCTGAGATCTGAGGATCACAGTTCAAAGCCAGCCCTGGCAAGAAAAGCTGTGAGACTCTTATCTCCAGTACCACTCAGAAAACCGGAAGTGGTGCTGTGGCTCAAGTGGTAGAGCACTAGCCTTGAGCTGAAGAACGCAAGGACACAGCTCAAGCCCAGGGTTCAAGCCCCACAAGTGACAAAAAAAAAAAAAGAGTTTCACGGTTTTTCCTGCCCGGGCTGGCTTTGAACCGAGATCCTCAGATCTCAGCCTCCTGTGTAGTTAGGATTACAGGCGTGAGCCACCAGTGCCCCATTTATCAATTCCTTTGCTACCTCACTTTGTATGAAATTTCGTATTGTACCTTGGTCATTTACATTCTTATGGTTCACACACATTTTATCTCCAACCTTAACTTCTTACCTAAACTTCAGATTAGTATCCAAAGAACCTTTCATCCTAAATTTGACTTGTCTAAAACTTAACTTCTTGGTTTGCTTTTCAAGAATTCCTCCTCCCACCCATTTTCCTCTCTCAACTTATGGAAACATCTGGTTGCCCAGAAACCTGGGAAGTGTCACTGATTCCCTGGCCCTTCACTCCCTCATGCAGTTGTAATAATCTGTTTAATGGAATTAGATTTTTTTCTGCATAGTCAAAGACCAAACTCAAGGCCTTGCACTTGCCTAGCAAGTGCTTTTCTACCTAGCTAAATAGCCAACCCCTTTTTTAAAAGTTTTTCTTTAAGCTAGTAAGTTTGCATATATCTATCATTTATCTCATTGTAATTTACTATAATAGATAAAATTATTCAACAATATAAAGATTCACTGTTTACTTAATAACTTGCTACAAGAAACCCTCATGCAGTTTAAGTAATCTGCTTAATAAACGTAGTATCTGAAAATGCTATAGAGTCAATTACACCAAATTCACACACACACAAAAGAATAAAAATTAAAAGAGACTAAAATCAGAGAAAGAGAGGTCAATCTCAATCACCTTGTAGGTCTGTCACCTTTATTTTCATATCATAAGAGCCAGTTAGCAAGTAGTGAGCTCCAGGGGAAAAGCGAACAGAACGGACATCACTGGAATGAGGGTGGTAACTCTGAACCATTCTTCCTCCTCTTATGTCATACAACATGCAGCTGGAGTCTTCTTGACCAGTAGCTAAAAGCCGGCCACTGGGATCTACAGCTACTGATGCCACTGCACTGCCTGTAGTGAGGGAATCAAAGTTTCAATACAGAAAATCAATATACCTAATCTGCATCATGGGTAATTATTTTTCACTGAACCACACACCAATGCTTTAATGTAGTTTATCAATACTGTTCAGTATCAGAGAACAAAAGTCAAAATTAATAGCCAACCAATAAGCATTTGTATCTTTTGTGGCTCAAGCGGTAGAGCTGGCCTTGAGCTGAAGAGCACAGGGACAGCGCCCAGGCCCAGAGTTCAAGCCCCACGACCGACAAAAAAAAAAAAAAAAAGAATACATGAGAACATACTTAGAAGAGAAGTATAAAAAAAACCCTTCAAGGCAGCTTTTGGCATGGTGGTTCAAACCTGTAATTAATCCTAGGGACTTGGGAGGCACAGATTGGAGGACAGGGATTTGAGGCCAGCCCCAGCATAAAAGTTTGAGAGACTCTGTCTCAACTGATGGTTAGTTGCAATATCACTCACCTGTCATTGCCAGTGACATGGGTAAGCATGAGTAAGAGGACCACAGCTCAGACAGGCATAAAGCAAGACCCTATCTTGAAAAGGCCTGACTCAAGTAGTAGAGGCCCTGCCCTGCAGACTCAAGACAGTTTAATCCTCAGCACTGGGGGCAGAAAGGGAAAGCAAGATCTTAAGCACTACAGGGCTTAAATTGTTCCTGCATATAGTGAAGCATCACTGTGGACTTCTAAGCAAGAGAATTATATGATCCAAACAGTACTTTTGCTAAGTTAAACTAAGTGAAAATGTGTATCAAAATAAAATAGAAAGATTGTAAAATAAGGTAAACCACTGGAAGACAAGATAGAATAATAAAATAATGAGGGAATAAAGGCTTGAACAAGGACAGAGAGGTTTCAGAGTGAGGGAAGAACAACAATATTGCAACTAACTGCCTGGGGGGGGGGGGGGAGGGCAGAACTTTTTTTTTTTGCCAGTCATGGGCTTGAACTCAGGGTCTGGGTACTGGCTCTGAACCTATTTGTGTTCAAGCCTAGAGTTCTTCCCCTTGGGCCTTAGTGCCACTTCTGGCTTTTTCTGAGTAGTTTATTGGAGATAAGAGTCTCATGGACTTTTCCTGAGTAGCTAGAATATAGGCATGACCCACCAGCACCCTGCAAGGGAAAAGCTTTTTAAATGAGTCCCAGATATCAAATAACCTTGCTTGACTGCCCAATAGTCATATACTGACATAAGGAAATAAGAGGACAATCATAAAAGTTAGGGAAAATTAGAACAGTTGACTCACAGAAGAAATATGAAACATACAAAGGTGATGATGCCAACAAAAACATGGATTTATTTATTTAAAAAGTGATTATCAAATCACTACTCCCTTGGCCTGGCACTATATAGTAGACATTGTCTATTCTGGAAAACAAAACACCTATGACTCCTGTATACAATATGATGAATAAATACAAATATATCACAAAAAACAGGTATGACTATTACTTTTGTACAACTTAATATCTACTGGAGAAGATAAGCAATAAATAAGAAAACAAATACATCATATTAAATGGTGAAAAGACTTTGGTGATTTAAAATAAAAGTCTTGGGTCGGTGACTCTTGCCTATAATCCTAGCTACTCAAGAGGCTGGGATAAGAGGATCACAATCAGAAATTAACCCTGGCCAGGAAAGTCCATGACACTCTTAAAAACAGACAATGAAAGTCAGAGAGTGAAAGCTGGGGACTGTGGTTGAATAGAGTACCTGCCTAACAAGGACAGGCCCAGAAGTTCAATCTCCAGTATGGAAAAGATAATAATAATCAGAAAGTGATATAAAATCTTCATATTATATGATAGAGAAGTCAATACATAATTATTAAAATATTATAATTGTTATTTTGAAATATGGAAACAAATGAAAAGAACTATAAAAGTTAAAAATTACTGTCTCTGAGAGACAGAAAGTTAAATAGAGTATTAGGGATAGCACCTAATTCTAAGAGCAATACTGTTTTTGTTTTTTCTTTTTAGCTAGTAACAAGGTTTAAACTCAGGGCCTCATGTTTGCTAGGAAGGTTTGATGATCCACACCCTCAAGCCATTTTTGGCTTGCTTGCTATTTCTCAGATATAGTCTTATGCTTTTTTCCTGGGGAACAGTTTGAGACCATAATTTTCCTATTCATGACTCACAGATTTGAGCTGCCTCACCCAGATCTGTCTATAAAGATGGGGTCTAACTTTTTGTCTGGGCTGGCCTCCAATTATGATTCTCCTAATCTCTGTCTCCTAAGCAGCTAGAATAAAATGTAAGTCATTGTTCATGGGCTCATTAAAAGATTTTTTTTTTGTCAGTTGTGGGGCTTGAACTCTGAGCCTGGGCACTGTCCCCCAGCAATTCAGCTCAAGGCTAGCGCTCTACTACTTGAGCCACAGCTCCACTTCCAGTTTTCTGGTGGTTAATTGGAGGTAAGAGTCTCTGGACTTTCCTGCCCAGGCTGGCTTTGAACCATGATCCTCAGATCTCAGCCTCTTGAGTAGCTAGGATTATAGGCATGAGCCACTTGCGCCTGGCTAGAAAGAATATTTTTAAAGGTCTGTGCTCCAAAACTGCCCTGCTAACAAAATAATTTGGAACACAAAACTTAATCTCTCCATGGACCTTGCTGTCTTAAGATCAATTATTATTTTTATAAATATAGTAACAAAAGCATTTTAAAAGAAATAAAAGTAATCAATAAAATACAGAGCATTTAGTCATAACTTCTATCTTTTTATACTGCAGACAGGAGAAAGTAGAACAGTATAATTTATAAAGTTCTTTCTCAGATAACTTCATTCAAATTAAGAGAAAACTTACCAGTTCCATGAAATGTTGTGCCAACAACACGAACACAGCTTGGAACTCGCAGATCCCAGAACCTAACAGTCTTATCTTGGGAACCAGATGCAATCATCCAGCCGCTCCAGGTATAAAGTGCTAAAATGTGCCCTGTAAAAGATCAGGGTTATTGCTGTGAGAAAAGTCTTTGCACAGTATTTCCACAGCTAAGTACTCCTGATTAAGTGATGGTCTGGTTAATCACATACACTCCATGATCGAGATTTCCTACGTGTATCACATAGATTGGATATGATGCTTTGTCATTTTATTCTCTCAGTCTCACTTCCTTCGTGCATAAAACTGGGCTCAAACCTCCAACATCATAAATTGATGGTGAGAATTAAGTTGAGGAATTTCATGATAATAATAGCCTTCAGGAAAGACAATTATCAAGAACACTGATAAATAGTTGCTATCCATACTTTGCAATTTAAGTTTTTGGAATAAAAATTCCCTATCTTAAAAAGATCAATTTGGCATCCTGCAGCTCAACCCAAAACAGCATCAACTGAGGCAGAGACACAGGAGAAACTCGCAGAGCCACCACCGCCCAGCCCAGCCCACAACCACCTCAACTGAACTCTGATTGCAATGGCAACCAAAGACCTACATCACACAGAAACAACAACTAGCTTCAGGGTGAGTACCCCACAGGGGACAGTGTATCCCTCAAAGGAGACCAGAGCTGGTGGGAATCCCTAGGCCCTGACCCAGACCCCCTACCCCAACACCTGGACCACAGGACCCACTAAAACTGGGTACTGTTCAAGAGCTCCACCAGCCCATGAACCACACCCAGCTGGCCAGGCTAGAGCAAGAGCTCCCCTGGAAGGGAGCTTAAATGCCCAAGCCAGGAACAGCGCCCCTGGGTCAAAACACCCAACAGTGGAAGAAATTTGAACTGTGTACTCCAGGCTGCGTAACCTAGGCAGGATACACAGCAGCACAGGTCCAACTCATCTGCCCCAGGCCGAGGGCCGGGACCAGGCCTGGGGATCCAGTGCCTGAGCAACACAACCAACTCCTCCCAACTGAAGTCAGAAGCTGAGCATATGCCTCAGCAGAGGGGGAAAAAACAGGGAACTGTACCCTCTGGGAATCACGCCTGCGACAGCAAAAGACCCGGGGGTTCAGGACAAGAGAAGCCCAAACCCCACCAGAACCCAATCCATATATTCTAGGCTGGGAATTGGACAATACAGGCTGCCAGCACCTGATTATAGTCAGGAGCTCAGGCTGGTAAGGTGGCTCGGCAGTAGAGTGCTTGTCTTGGGTGCATGAGGCCCTGGATCTGATTCCTCAGCACCACATAAGCAGAAAGGACTGGAAGTGGTGCTGTGGCTCAAGTGGTAGGGTGCCGGCCTTGAGCTGAAGAGCTGAGGGACAGCGCCCAAGCCCAGAGTTCAAGCCCACAACTGGCAAAAAAAAGAAGAAAAAAAAAAAATCAGGAGCCTATAGCAGACTCCAGCATCTGGGAGAGTGCATCCAGCACATCCGATCTCACCAAGAGCACCTGTAGGAGCAAACAGGAGCAGTCTAGGCTGCTCAACCCTTCTAAAGACAGGAACTGCCAGTGATCTACAGCAGAGAGCCCAGAACCCTATGTAAGTCAGACCAGCAGCTGGAGGTCGGTCCCCAACAGAACCGAGATCAGGTACAGACTCTCTCTACCAGCACAGAAACAGCAACCAAGCAAAGACAGACACCTATTGACAAAAACAAAATTTCAGATTAGTCTCCAATAGTCCCTGAATCCCCATGTAAAAATCACAGAGAAAAATTAAAAGGTTTATCAACACCCAGGATAGCAAGCTATCCCCAAAAGCCAGCAGCCACCCAGGGGAGAACCCCAGTGGGAGCAAAGCAGGAATGGAAGACAAAAGCTACATCCAAGGGATGCTGGAGGCAATGACTCAAGAAATAAAGTGAGAAATAGACCAGAAATTGAAAGAACACGGGGTCGAAATATCGAAAGAGATGCAGGATATCAAACAGGAGATGCATGCAAAAATAGAGGCAGCACACAGGTCACTAAGAGGTGAGATTAGTGCAAAAATAGAGGCAGTACACACCTCAATAAGAGGTGAGATTAATACTTTGAGAACCAACACCGAATCCATAAATGAGTCCATTTCCTCCATGCAAACCACAATGGAAGCCAGAGTTAACAGAGTGAGCGAAATGGAATGTAGAGTGTCAGATACAGAAGACAGAATACACCAACTGGACCAAAAAATGACAGATATGGAAAAATCACTTAAATTATGCCAAAGGGAAATTCAAGAGCAAGCGGATAGTGCCAAGAAATTTAACCTTCGTATAATTGGAGTGGATGGAGGTGAGGAATATCAAAGAAAGGGAATGCAACACCTATTCAACAAGATAACCGGTGAAAATTTTCCCCATCTCATAAAAGAACATCTTACCTACAGAACAGAAGCATATAGAACACCTAACAAGCAAGATCCCAGGAGAAACACTTCTAGACACATTATAGTAAAAATGATAGATCTGAATAATAAGGAAGCAATCTTGAATGCAGCAAAAATGAAGAAGGAGTTATACTACAATGGGAAAAAAATTAGAATCACTGCAGATCTCTCCACACAAACACTGAATGGCCTGGGAAAGTACCATACAAGCCCTGAGAGCCAATAACTGCCAACCCAGACTGATATACCCGGCAAAGCTAGCATTCAGATTCGATGGAGAACTGAAAATTTTTAATAGCAAAGAAAAACTAAATGAATACATAAACATTACGCCAGCATTACAAAGAATACTAAGAGGGGAAACACAACCTGAAGAAAACAACCAGGAACAGGGACTTGCACCCAGACAGGCATTAATAGAAGTCTAACTGAGCAAGCACAGGAGGAAAGGAAAGAAGAAAAACTTAGGAAAACAGGGACTGACAGGGACCACAACACATCTCTCTATACTATCTCAATATCAACGGTCTTAATTCGCCAATCAAAAGAAAAAGAATTGCAGATCAGAAAACATGACCCATCCATCTGTTGCCTTCAGGAGGCCCTCCTCTCAGCCAAACATACAAACAAACTCAGAGAGAAGGGTTGGAAAAGGATCTACCGATCAAATGCCTCCAGTAAGAAAGCAGGTGTAGCAATCCTGATATCTGACAATAAACTTTTCATTAAAATCAACACAAAAAGACAAAGATGGACACTACATATTAATACAGGGAACAATCCAAGAGGAGGATATTACCCTCATCAACTTACATTCCCCAGACATTGGTGCACCCAAATACTCTCAAACTTACAGAATAAAATAGATCCCAATATGCTAATACTAGGATACTTTAACACCCCACTCTCACCAAAGGACAGGTCTACCAACCAGAGGATTGGCAAAGAAGCTACCGAATTGAGGCCATACTTCAAGCGGAACTAACTGACATCTACCGAGTATTTCACCCTAAAACAACACAGTACACATTCTTCTCAGCAGCTCATGGAACTTTTTCCAAAATAGACCATATCATAGTTCATGCAAGGAACTTAAGCAAATACAAGGGGATGGACATAATCCCCTGTATCCTATCTGACCACAGTGGAATCAAGCTAGTTCTTAATAACAAAGCATACCTCAGAAATTACTCAAATACATGGAAATTGAACAGCACACTTTTAAGCAATGCCTGGGTAATGGAAGAGATTAAAGAAGAAATTTAAAAATTCCTACAACTCAATGATAATGAAAACACATCACAAAGAAACTTGTGGGACACAGCAAAAGCAGTCCTGAGGGGCAAATTTATTGCCCTCAGTGCCCACATTAAGAAAATAGAGACAGATCAAGTAAATAATCTCATGTTGCAATTAAAACAGCTAGAAAAACATGAAAAAATGGAACCTAAAGTTACTAGACGAAGCCAGATAACCAAACTAAGAGCAAAGATTAATGAATTAGAGAATAGGAGAATCATAGCCAAAATTAACAAAACAAAAAGCTGGTTCTTTGAAAAAATAAATAAAATTGATGGACCATTGGCAAGATTAATTTAAAAAAGAAGAGAGGAAACCCATATTAACAAGATTAGGGATGCCACAGGAAAAATCACAACACATATCCAAGATATCCAAACAATTTTAACGGACTACTTTCAAAAGTTATATTCTCTAAAGAAAGAAAACCTTTCAGAAATGGAAGCATTTTTACAGAAATACAAGTTGCCCAAACTGAGCAAAGAAGAAGTAAATCAATTAAATAAGCCAACATCCTACAATGAGATACAGGAAGCAGTCAGAAGTCTTCCAACAAAGAAAAGCCCAGGACCAGATGGATTCACAACAGAATTCTGTAAGACCTTTAAAGAAGAACTAATACCCATATTCCTCAACCTCTTCAGAGAAACAGAGAAGGAGGGAGCTATCCCAAACTCATTCTATGATGCCAATATCACACTCATCCCCAAACCAGGCAAAGACCCAACCAAAAAAGAGAATTACAGGCCAATTTCCTTGATGAACACAGATGCAAAGATCCTTAGCAAAATTCTAGCTAACAGAATCCAGAAACACATTAAAAAAAGCATACACTATGACCAGGTAGGCTTCATCGCAGAGATGCAGGGATGGTTTAACATACGTAAGTCAATAAATATAATACAACACACACATCAACAGAGCCAAGGTCAAGAATCACATGATTATCTCCACAGATGAAGAAAAGGCCTTTGATAAAATTCAACATTCATTCATAATAAAAGTTCTGGAGAAAATAGGAATAGAAGGAACATTTCTTAAAACAACAAAAGCCATTTACAACAGACCAATAGCCAATATTAAACTTAATGGGGAAAAGCTACAACCAATTCTCTTAAAATCAGGAACAAGGCAAGGATGCCCACTGTCTCCACTCCTCTTCAATATAGTCCTGGAACCCTTAGCCAGGGCAATAAGGCAAGAAAAAGACATTAAAGGGATCCGCATAGGGAAAGAAATTAAACTATGCCTTTTTGCAGATGACATGATACTATACCTTCACGATCCCAAAAACTCCATCCCCAAACTCTTAGAAATCATAAATCACTTCGGCAAACTAGCAGGATACAAAATCAACCCACAAAAATCAGTTGCCTTCCTGTACATTGACAATGTACAAGCAGAGAGGGAAATAAAGGAAACAACCCCATTCACAACAACCTCCTAAAAAATAAAATAAATTAATATACAAATTCAATGCAATTCCTATAAAAATCCCAATGACATACATCTCTGAAATACAGAAACAGTCCAAAAATTCATATGGAATAACAAAAGACCTAGAATAGCCAAAACAATTCTAGGGAATAAAGACAACATGGGAGGGATATCCATGCCCAACTTCAAACTGTACTATAGAGCCATAATAACAAAGACAGTATGGTACTGGCACAAAAACAGACCCAAAGACCAATGGAATAGAAGATCCAGAAATAAATCCACAGGCCTACAGTCAGCTGATATTTGACAAAGGAGCCAAAGACATACAATGGAAGAAACACAGCCTCTTCAACCACTGGTGCTGGGAAAACTGGGAGGCCACATGCAGAAGACTAAAAGTGGACCCCAGCCTATCACCATGCACCAACATCAACTCAAAATGGATTAAAGACCTTAACATTAAACCTGAATCTCTGAAACTACTGCAGGACAGAGAAGGAGAGACACTTGAACTTATAGGCACAGGAAGGAACTTCCTGAACAGAGTCCCAGGGTCACAACAAGTTGGAGAGAGACTCGACAAATGGGACTACCTTAAAATAAAAAGCTGCACAGCTAAAGCTATCACAACCAAGCTAGAAAGACAACCAACTAATTGGGAGAGAATATTTACCAGCAATATATCAGACAAGGGGTTAATATCCTATATATACAGGGAACTCAAGAAACTAATCCCTCCCAAATCTAACAAACCAATTACTAAATGGGCAAGGGAACTAAAGAGAGATTTCTCAGATGAACAGATAAAAATGGTAAAGAAACACATGAAGAAATGTTCACCATCCCTGGTTGTGAAGGAAATGCAAATAAAGACAACACTGAGTACTACCTTACCCCAGACAGAATGGCCCACATCCACAAATCAGCCAACGACAAATGCTGGAGGGGATGTGGAGAAAGAGGAACCCTATTACACTGCTGGTGGGAATGTACACTTATACAACCACTTTGGAAAGCAGTCTCGAGGGTCCTCAGAAAGCTAAATATTGGCCTCCCTTATGACACAGTCATACCACTTCTAGGCATCTATCCTGAACAACAGGAACCAGTATACAAGGACACATGTACCTCCATGTTTATTGCAGCACTGTTCACAATAGCCAGGATATGGAAACAACCCAGATATCCCACAACAGATGAATGGATCCAAAAATTGTGGTATCTATACACAATGGAATATTGTGCAGCCATTAGAAATGACAAAATAATGGCATTTGCAGGGAAATGGATGGGGCTAGAAGAAATCATGTTGAGCAAGGTAAGCCAAGAGCAAAGAGGCAAACAGTACATGGTCTCCCTGACAAGTGGATGTTAAATCCAAAATATTAGGTGATATGACAAAATTATCAGGACTTAAGAAACAAAGGACTTCCACTCATCTGGTCGAATCACTACTAAATAACCCCATGCTGCTGATCACATGTATGGTATATATGTGTACACCGGAGGGGAACCAGGAAGATGACAGAACTAGAGGGAATCAGGGAAAAACATACAACAGCGGGACCCATCAGCTGCACTGGACATGGATCAAAATGAACTAAGCAACTCAATGGCAGCGATGGGAGGGAGGGAACAAGTGGTAAAGAGGGAACAGCTGATGCTAATGCAAAACAAAAGAAATGTACATATCACCCAATGTGGAAGAAATAACTGTATCACAAAGCTCATAGAACTCATAAATGTTATAGCCCGTGATAGACAATTTGCTCCAGGACAGTTAGAATGTGTTTGTGATTTTAACCTAGCATCACTATCCCACAATACTGTGAAATTTGGGAAATTATGTAACCACTTAATCACAATAAAAAATTTGAAAAAAAGATCAATTTGGATTATATATATATATATATCCATATATATATGCACACACACGCATATATATATACATATATCTCATTAATGAGAATAAAGAGAGGAAAACAAGCACAAATTGAACAAAGGTAAAGCAGAACTGAGACTGATAGCACTTACCAGTATGTCCACTCAAAGCATGGAGGCCCTGTCCTCTTTGACAATCTGTTGTATAAATGTTACAGTCCCCTGCTCCAGCACTTATTAAAATAGCTCCACCACTTTCTGGGCCTTCCATAAATGCCAGATCTCTAATTGTCCCATCATGCATACTAAATTCCAGATCCGGTCCTGAAACAGCAATAAGAATTAAAAAAAAAAAAGATGCTGCTCAACTTCACTGTGACAACAAGATTGCTAAACTGTCTCAAAACTGGCCAATAACAGAGCAGTAGTGTGATCTTTATTTCACTTAGGGACTGACACTATATAATCAGCTTTACTTCATTGACTATGGAATGAAGTTGACTATATATAAGAAAAAGAGAGGACAGATATGCTCTAGAAAATATCTGTTAATCTAATTCTGGTACTTATACAAAAGGGTGTGAGTGTGTGTGTGTGTGTGTGTGTGTGTGTGTGTGTGTGTGTGTGCATGTGTTTGTGCATGTGTTTATGCATGATGCCGGGGATTATACCCAGAGCCTTGCCTCGTGTATAGTAGTTAAGCAAGAGAAAGTCCTACCACACCCAATCCTTAAAAACTATTTTTTTTGTTAATAATTTTCTAAAATTCAGACACCACCTGACTACATGCAAAAATTTACTAAAAAAGAGAATAATGCCTCATTGTAACCAAAATACTAAAACATGAAACAATTTTTAAGATTACATTTTTAGATTCCATTGAGGATCACAGATAGCTACAACACAGGGTAAATATAAAGTACATCTTGGCAAGCCAGCTACTGCTTACATATTTGGGCCCTACCTGTTGCATTACAGTTCTCTGCATTGAAGGGCAGCACTTTGACATATTTGTCATTTGATCCTGTTGCTAATAATTGTCCACAAGGACTCCAAGCCACACAGTAAATGGATCCTTTGTGATGTTTGTTCCTTTTAAAACGTACCACTGGCTGCTTAGGAGTGTCATGTGTACTGAAAGAACAAAATTACATAAAGACATTTCAATTACTTGCTAACATTAATTAATATGAAGTTTCTATATTTTGGTTGTCTTTGAGCAGGTGAGTAAAAAGCATGTCAGACAAAAGGTTATTAGTAGTTTTCATCAGGGCAAGGAGTTCTAGAGCATGTCCTGTCTTGACCATGTCCAGACTGAACACATAGGAGGAACCTCCAGGCCTTCTCTCAGTGTGAGGCTGAACTCAACTCACAGGAGTGTCTGCTTCAACCCTCCACTTCCCTCCACCTTTTCCTTTGATATTAAATTTACAGATACTCTCTATGATGACCAAGCTCACTGAAAGAGTACTTCCAGCATTCACCTAGCCCTGAGTTTCACAGCCCCAAGTAATAACAAACAAAAGCCAGTAACACTTGGCAAGGAGTTTTCTATATGTTACACCATTCTGCCTGCTGCTTTTTCTTATAAGCAGTATCTACAATCTATAATCAGTTTTTTGGGGTTTTTTTGGTATTTCCTTTTTTTTCTTTCTTTTTTTTTTGGGGGGGGCGGTCATGGGGCCTGAACTCTGGGCCTGGGCGCTGTCCCTCAGCTCAAGGCTAGCACTCTACCACTTGAGCCACAGCGCCACTTCTGGCTTTTTTCTTTTTGCTTATGTGGTGCTGAGGAATCGAACCCAGGGCCTCTGGCATGCAAGGCAAACGCTCTACCACTGAGCCACCTTCCCAGCCCTCTATAATCAATTTATATATTGGCCTATAAATGGAAATAAACACTATTAATCTTTAAAAGAAAAAAGGTTTCAAAAACGGTAAAAGAAAATAAATAGTGGGCTGGGAAGTTGGCTCAGTAGTAGAGTGCTTGCCTCTCATGCATGAGAGGAAGCCGGAAGTGGCACTGTGGCTCAAGTGCTAGAGCACTTGCCTTGAGCTGAAGAGCTGAGCGACAGCACCCAGGCCCAGAGTTCAGGCCCCACACAGGAAAAAAAAAAAAATCTAGTAGATTAGATACTGTCACGATCACTCATGTATAGCAAGCAAATATAAGTTACAGTGCAATATAAACTTTTGGATAGGGAGAATTTTCCAGGCAAGAGGAGAGACAGTTTCTAGTGAAGACAAAGTAAGTAGGTAAAGTTCTGGCTGAACATGGAGTATGGGTAAGAGGTGAGAAAACCAGAGATCAGGAGATGGATACATGTGTAGGTGAGGGACCTGTGTGTCAGCTGCGGAACATAATAAATTTGGCATAACAACTACTGGCTTAGTGGAGGAATAACCTCTTACTTGCATTTCTAAATGCAGACAATATTATGTAATAAAGATTTTAATTACTGATAATAATAAAGTCATTAGTCATTTCTGGAGATTTATCCTGAAGAAAAATGGGTAAAATGATATATCTAGGATTGTTCTTAAAATATTTTTAGCAAACAAAAAGGATAAATGGAGCAAATGTGACAAAAACCTTGACTATTAATGCTTTTCAGTGTACTAGTCTCTATATTTTGTGTGTTTGGGAATTTTCATGATTAGAAAAAAATTCCAAATAGATGAATGGATCCTTTAATAAATTCATAATATGATTTGAAAAAAGATTTTCAAATACATTTGCTAAATAAATTTGCCTTTAGCTCTGCCTTTATAACAATTGCTATTTTCCACCCCCAATCTAGAATCCTGCCTTTTCTCTTTTATGTATTTCTATTTAATTATATAATGAGCACCAATAAGTTATATACTAACTTATTAAAATACTATAACCTAACATGGGCCCTACTAATCATTTCCCAATCTTTAAATGTTACTACATTCCACAAGTCAAAATTATTGGTTTCTAAAGGCATGGCCCAAGTAGTAGAGTGCCTGTGTAGCAAGCACAAGGCCTTGAGTTCAAACCTCAGTACTCTCAAAATTTTGAGTTTAGAAACACAGCCAAAAAATGCAAGTAATAAATGAAAAATCATATTCTTCTTCTTAAACTAGGGTTACAATAAGTAAGTCTTAATATTTCTAAAAAAAAGAAGGCTAAAACACAAACAGCATATGTTTTCTCTCATATGTAAGCTAGATATAAAATACAAACATACATAATAACATAGACAAGGTTTTATGTTATGCATATACAAGTAAACAAACTGACGAAAGAACCGTATACTCAGGGAGGATCCCAAAGGTATAACTCCTCCAAACAACTAATGACTGATTAACAAAATGTATACCAGGAAGCAGAAACATGTTTTAGAGGAAGGCAATGTGAGAAAGGAAGGGTGAACAAATGCAGTCATTATATTCAATGTACATTATGTAAAGACTGAAGGAACCATGTAATTTGAGGGTAGGAATGAGGAAATGGGAGAGAATGATGAAAGGGATGACACTGATCAAGATCATTGTACTCATAACTAGTTAATAATTTTTTAAATGTCTAAAACATGATATTAAATGGAATTGGAGGTGTGGTTCAGGTGGTAGAGTGCTAGCCAATGAGTAAAAGCAGGTATCAGATACTGAGTTTGAGTCCTGGTCTCAGACAAAAAAAATCTATTACATGTGGTACTTTTAATAATTAAAACTTTTAAAAGTATATCTTGTTTTGTTTGTGGAGTTTGTATACTGGTACAAAAATTATTCCTTTTATGGCATTCATTACCCTAACAACAAATAGCACATGATCTCTATAATGAATTTTTTGTTTGTTTTTTAATTTTCAGTACTGGGATTAGAACTGAAGGCCTTGTGTTTGCTAGGCAAGAACATCACCACTAGAGTCACATCCCCAGCTGTGACAATTTATTCTGATAGCAAACATTTGAACAAACTGACAGAAATTCTACCTAAGCAAAATCCAGAGTTTAAATCCAGATTTCTGTGAGGTTACATCTGAGCTATTCACTGTTTTTTAAGTTTTTTGGTCATGCTGGACTCAGGCTCAAACCCAGTGTTCCAGTGTCATGTGCATTCTAGGAAGTGCTCTCCCATTGAGCTACAAATACAATAATAAATGTTCATTTTTAATCACATGTTTTTAGATACATGGGCCTCATTTTAAATTCCACTTCAGGTTAAACAAGAGGGTAAATCATTGTTAGGTTACTCAAATAATTTTTAATTTTTGTCAGTTTAGATGGACAAATAGTAATTTTATAACCTAAACTCCTCTAAAAACGTGTTATTAAGAAATGTGTATTTCCGGGGCTGGGAAGGTGGCTCAGTGGTAGAGTGCCTGCCTTGCATGCATGAGGCCCTGGGTTCAATTCCTCAGCACCACATAAGCAAAAAGAAAAAAGCCAGAAGTGGTGCGCTGTGGCTCAAGTGGTAGAGTGCTAGCCTTGAGCTGAAGAGCTGAGGGACAGCGCCCAGGCCCAGAGTTCAGACCCCACGACTGGACACCCCCCCCAAAAAAAAGAAATGTGTATTTCCTTAGCTTGTAATCAGCCTTACTGTGTTTTTATCTTACATTATTTAATTGGATTGTAATAACTTTTCAGATAAAATACAAAAGTCATAAAAATCAGGAAGATTGCAATACTGATGCACAATGACCCAATCAAAGATATTTTATTGAGAAATAATCACAAAATTAATGAAGACTTAAGTATATTATTTTTCCCTCAAAAATAAAGTTGAATGAGAGGAAGGAAAAATTGAAATATCATTGAATGGCAACTCTGAAAAAAGACACCAATACAGGCAATTTTAAAATAAGGCAAGTATGACAATATACAAACTAGATCTTCTTACCTTGTATCAATTACTTCTGGATAGGCACATACTCTCAGAGTTTTTGAATTGGAACCAACAGCATATAAACTACCACTTGGATGAAAAGCCACTGCTCTAACCGCTTGTGTGTCTTCCAGGGTGTTAATACAAACAAACTGCTTTTTTGACTTGTCATCCTATGAAAAGAATGAGATTGGAAGAATTCATCTTTATCTAATTTTAAATTCATTTGACCTGTTCCTGTTTGATCAACTCTTGTATTGTTCCTGTTTGATCAACCATTTTCTAAGTGACAAATCCAAATTAACCCTATTTTATGCTTGAGCATTGGTAAATGAAAATCAGATAGTTTATACATATTTGAGTTTTTACATTAAAACAAAACATATGATTAAGTATATATTTCTATATTAAGTTCTCTTTAAATATCAAGGAAGGGGAACTCATGAATATTAAAATTCTAGTAAAAATGACAGAAGATCATTTGTGTTTTTCAAAGAAGCAAGTATCTGGGTAATTACTTGGGAAGCTGAGTCAGAAGATGAGCTTTAGACTAGCATAGCCTGAGGAAGACCTCATTCTCAAAAAGAGAAAATCTGGGAGCTGGTGGCTCAGGCCTGTAATCCTACGTTAGAAGGCTGAGATCTGACGATCACAGTTTAAAGCCATCCTGGACAGGAAAGTCTCCAATCAACCACAAGAAAACTGGAAATGATGCTGTGGCTCAAAGTGGTAGAGCACTAGCCTTGAGCAAAGAGAGCTCAGGGACAGCACACAAGCCCTGAGTTCAAGCCCCATAGCTGACAGTAATTAATTAATATTAAAAAAAGAAAGGGAGGGAGAAAGGAAGTGTGAAAGTAAAACTGACTATTATTTAATTAATTTAAATATTTTAAAAAGCTTACCATCATCTGTGGAAACGAATATTTCAGTATCTCGAAATTGTAAAATGCCCTTTGAAAACTAAAATTTATTTTAAATAGAACATCTAGGTTTCAAGTTGATTTTAAACTGTCAGTTTATCTATCCACAGCAATCTTCTAAAGAGGCAAGTAATTTGAGGTAGTTTACTTGGGCCAGATGACTATGATCTGATTTCCTAACTTCTATCTTCAAAATCTTTTTTTTTTTTTTTTTGGGTTGGTCGTGGGGCTTGAACTCTGGGCTTGGGCGCTGTCCCTCAGCTCTTCAGCTCAAGGCGAGCGCTCTACCACTTGAGCTACAGCGCCACTTCCGGTTTTCTGGTGGTTTATTGGAGATAGGAGTCTCACGGTCTCTCTTGCTCAGGCTGGCTTTGAACCGCGGTCCTCAGATCTCAGACTCCTGAGTAGCTAGGATTACAGGCGTGAGCCACCAGCGCCCGGCTATCTTCAAAATCTTTTGAATTAGGTATATAATTAAAGCCTAATATTAAAAAATAAGTGTAATTCAACAATATAATTCAAGAATAAAGGTTTATTTTCCGCGTTAAGATATAGTTTATTGTATCATTTATAATGGTAAATTCCTTAAAAAGAATATTTAAATTACTTTGAGTACTTCCTACCCTCTCTAAGACATCAAAACATTGTAATGTTGTGTTAACTAATCTTCTATATGAATTTTGCCTCATTAAACATTGTATCTTATTAAGTTTTGGGAAAATTAGAGTATTTTATTCTTAATGAATAAGAATTTACTCTTAAAAAATCCAAAATACTTATAATGTTTATATTTGCCTATTATATCATTTCTTATCTGTTTATTGAACTTGCTAAATACATGAATCCATATGTTCTGGAAAAATTAGAGTATTTTATTCTTAATGAATAAGAATTCACTCTTAAAAATCTAAAATACTTATAATGCTTGTATTTGCCTATTATATTATTGCTTATCTGTTTATTGAATTTACTCAATACATGAATCCACAAAATAAAAAAAAAAGCTTTGGAAACTTGCTGTTGGTGTCATTTGAAATCATACTATTATTCATGCATGATACTTGGGCCACAGAAGTGACTGGACCTAAGAACAAAGATCTTCAGACAAACTGTCAGCAAAAGACCAAATCCTATATTTTGGATATATGAATGTCAAATATACATGTCAAGAAAAATCACATGAGCTCTGGTTTAGTATAAGAGCTCTAGGACCAATGATGAGGACTCTTCCCACCTTAGCTTTTATGTACTGGAGCAAACCAGTATCACAATATGCTTATCTTATATAATTGAATTCTGTTATTTATACGAATTTATTTAGCTAGGAAAATATAACATTCATTTCCCATTACTACATACATAGAGGAGATAAAAGAGAAAATGAATAATTGATTAAATGTCATATTAACAAGCTACACAACTTTATTTCCTTCCAATGTTTCAATTTTTAATTAGCAGTAATTTATGAAATAGATGATTGCACATGAAAATGTTGATTTTTAAAAATCAAAAGCCGGGTGCCAGTGACTCACGCCTGTAATCCTAGCTACTCAGGAGGCTGAGATCTGAGGATCACAGTTCAAAGCCAGCCAGGGCAGAAAAGTATGTGAGACTCTGATCTCCAATAAACCACAAGAAAACTGGAAGTGGCACTGTGGCTCAAGAGGTAGAGCGCTCACTTTGAGCTGAAGAGTGCAGGGACAGTGCCCAGGCCCAGAGTTCAAGCCCAACGACCGAAAAAATTAATTAATTAAAAAAGGTAAAAATCAAAAGAACCAGAAACACTGGAATTATATTTCTTTGTACAGATAAATATTCCTATATACTTATGAAAATGATTGGTGTTATTCACTTATATTACCTATGTGATACCCATATGCATCTGAAAACAACAAATCTGTGGGGGAAGGGGACCAGTACTGAGGCTTGAACCCAGGGACTGGCTGCTATCCCTTATTTCACTCAAGGTTAGTGGTGCTCTACCACTTAATCTACAGCTCTACTTGTGGCTTTTTTGAGGTTAATTGGAGATATTAGTATCAGGGACTTTACTGTCCAGGATGATCTCAATCCTCAGATATCACACTCCTGAATAGGGAAGATTATAGGCGTTAACCACTGAACCCAGCTAACATTTTTTTTCTTTTTTTTGCCAGTCCTGGGGCTTGAACTCAGAGCCTGGGCACTGTCCCTGAGCTTCTTTTTCTCAAGGCTAGCACTTTACCACTTGAGCCCCAGCAACACTTCTGGCCTTTTCTGTTTCATGCATGCTAGGCAAATACTCTACCACTAAGCCACAGTCCCAGCCCTAACAATATTTTTTTTTTTTTTGTCAGTTGTGGGGGTTGAACTCTGGGCTTGGGCACTGTCCTTGCACTCTTCAGCTCAAGGTGACCACTCTACCGCTTAAGCCATAGCGCCACTTCCGGTTTTCTACTGGTTTATTGGAGATAAGAGTCTCACGGACTTTGCTGCCAGGGTTGGCTTTGAACCAAGATCCTCAGATCTCAGCCTCCTGAATAGCTAGGATTACAGGCATGAGCCACGGGCGCCCGGCTTAACAATGTGTTTTTCAACGGAGATAAATTCTGAACTAGAAGAAATAAGAGAGTTAGAATAGGATGTTTGATTTCAAAGCACAGAACAAGCATACTGGTGAGAGGCACAAGGGAGGTATCAATATCATCTGAACAAATTAACCACAGATTATGATTAATCAATTATTCAGAGCATAGCACGGCGTCCCAATTCAAGGTCACTGCAGCGTCTTTTTGAATTCCAACTCTCAAATGTGTTTTCTAAGACAACATCTCTACTCCATGGAGCACTCAACTACCAAATAAACACTAACAATAATGACCATTTCTAAAAATGGCTTCTTAGAACTGTAAATTCTACAGCATATTTTGCAAATATAAATGAAAATGAAACATCTTTCTCTAACGTATTACCTCTTCCCCTCTTGACCTTGATAGACTCCCTGAAGAATCTCCAAGAGATGGTTTAATGACTGAATGTTCTGAGGAGCTGTGAGAATAGAAATTCAATTAAAGTTGACTCTGAATATCAAAGCAGAAACCAAATTTATCCCTTCAGTCTTTAATTTTTCCTTTTAGCAAAGGATCTTCAATGACCCCCATGTAAAGATATTTTGAACCTGGTGCTGATGGAGCTCACACCTATAATCCTAGCTACTCACAAGGTGAGATCTGAGAATCACAAATCAAAGCCAGCCTGGGCAGTCAAGCTATGAGACTTGTATTTCCAATTAAACAGCAAAAGGCCACAAGTGGAGCTATGGATCAAGTGGTAGAGAGTGATAAAAAAAAAAAAAAAAAAGCCAAGAATTCAAACCCCAATGCTGGGCACATACACATATGGATACATACAAGATATTTATTAAGAGGCTTTAGATTCAGTGATTCTAAGGAGAATTGTAAAGGGGGTGAAAAGCCAAAATGGAAAGGTTTCCATGAAGTCCATATATTTCACGTAAGAATGTCAAGTACCTTTCCTATGCTTAGTTCCCATGTCCTCGTTGCAATGTTTAAATCATACCCTATACAAGAGCCTAGAAACTGCCCTCTAGGAAAATTATCCAGCCTGAGAAACAAACTAGCTGAAACTAACAATTTAGAGTTCCTTAATAAAACAGTATTTCTACTTAATCACTTTCTCATGAGGTCACACACAGACAAATTACTCAGATAGATAGTATAAGGTAAATAGATAGGTTTAGGTGTACACACACACACACACACACACACACACACACACACACACACACACACACACAGCTGGTGAGACTAGGTTTAGGTGTACACACACACACACACACACACACACACACACACACACACACACACACACACACACACACACACACACACACACACACAGCTGGTGAGACTAGCAATCTCCAGCACTTCCTATTTCTTTGGCAGTTTCTCTATACAGCATCCTCTGGGTGCTTTCTTCCTGTGTTTCTTCACGAGCTCTCTACCGGCAGCAGAGTCTGGTTCATCTCTACCAGTGGAGGAGGCTCAAAACATGAGCTTGAACTTCTCCCCCAAGGCAAACCTATGCCCTTCTATGTCCACCTCTGGAAGATTCTTCTACTCAAATGCTATGGGTGGGTGATTCCAAATTCCTAGGCTGTGATTGTTTTAAGTGTGGGAAGTGGCTCAGTCTTACAGCACGAATGGGTACTTGCCCACAGATAATATAATACTATCTTCCTAGCATTTCAGTCTCAAGCATGAAGCCCTCCCCCATCAGGAAGGTCCTCCCTAAAGCCTGTCTTTATCTGATACAGATCTGTCCCACTGAGTGAGTCACTGACCCACTAAATCCCTGGAGGACTCAAGGCTTGCAGGAGGCCTGGATCTGTCCTCCAGCTAGGTCTGCCATTTTGCCATTCTGTCCTAGTAGTTACCTGGCTTACCTTGTGGTGGTGGCTTTGGCTTCCCATACCCACAGGGGAGACAGGGGCTGGAGGAGAGGCAAACTCCTTCCTAATAAGTACTCTCGATCATCTTTCAGTTTTGCCACATTTTTCAGTCCTCTTATTCCTTGTTGGCAGTTCTCAGTGCTCTTCCTAACTTTTGCTCTTCCAAATAGTTTTCAGGCTCTTCTCATTCACAAGGTCTGATGAAGAAAGCATCTACCCTGCATGGTATCCCAACTCTTCATTGATTTCTTTTAAGCTGCTAAGTATTATTTTTTTTTCTTAAAAAAATTGCTTTATTTATTTGGCAATACTGGAATTTGGACTCAGCTCTTCCTGCTTACTAGGTACACCCTACCACTTGAACTACATCTCCAGATTTTGGGGTTTGGGGTAGAGGATTTGAGACAGGGTCTCACTGGTATCTCAGGCAGGCTTCAGGCTCTCAATCTTCCTTCCTGTGACTTAGTGCTGGGATTACAAGTGTGCATCCACCACTCCTGTCTATTTGACTTCTAAAATCAAGTATGGATGTCACATAGACCAAACTTTAAATGTAAAATTTCAGTTCAAGTTTGGCGAGAAATCGAACCAAGTATGAAAATAATAATAAAGAAATATATATTAAATAGACATGTTCTAACATAAAAGTAGAGTCTGGATTAATTACAAGACTAATTTCTACAAAAACCTAAGGGCCCAAAGCATGCTATGCATTTTTAAATAAGCCACTTTGAAGTTATGTTAAGGCTAGAAAGGAAAATCCTTAATTATTCTTCTGACTGAATTAACACTTGTTTACTGGTATTAGCAAGAACATAAATATGTTCTAGTTCCAACAGCTACCAATGTCTAACAATCATTCCAGCATGATGTATACCATGTTCTGGTGCTCTGAAAAGTCAGTTTTACTATTATTTGCTGAAAGAAGGACAAGAAAAAAGATAAATGCTAAAACTGGAGATCTGCAAGATTTTGTTTAAGAACAATGCAGAAAGCAGAACTGCCTTGGTAGTGTATATGCAAAACAAAAAGAAAAATAAAAGGAAAATAAAGACTATACTTGTTATCCCAGTGCTTGGGAAGTGAGGACAGGAGAAACAAATCTGAGGCCAGGTTGGGCTATATAGCTAAATAAGACCTCATCTTAATAAATAAACAAATAAATACTGTAAAGAGACTTAGAAATTGATAGAATAGAATACAGGTAAACTAAGGAAGATTAGAAAAAAATTGAGGAAGTAATGAGCTCTAAAAACTTTCATGTGTTGTGCTCCAATGAGAAGTTCACTTTTTTTTTTTCTTTTCTTTTTTTTTTTCTTTTCTTGTAGCTGGGGCTGGGGCTTGAATGCAGGGCCTGGGCACTCTCCCTGAGCTTTTTTACTTAAGACTAGCACTCTACTACTTGAGCCACAGTTCCACTTCTGGCTTTTTTGGTAGCTTAGTAGAGGTGAGTCTCACAGACTTTCCTGCCTGGGGTGACTTTGAACCATAATCTTCAGATCTCAGCCTCTTCAGTAGCTAGGAATACAGGCATGAACCACTGGCACCCATGTGAGAAGTTCAACTTTCTATCTTGTTGTTCATAGTAGCAAATTAATAGTTTCAGGTTTTATAAAGTCAAGCACTTACATTTGGCTACCACAAGGAGGAGATTCCTCAAGAAAGGGTATGTGATTTGTTGATCCAGGATTACGAGGAGTACTTGTATGAATATTTGAAGCATCATGTGCTAATCTCTGACTAGAGTCTTGGGGTGGTGTAGCAAAACTAGTCACAGAAGAATTATTTGATCCATTGCTTTTGTTCCCATTACACTGCTGGTTGAGCACTGATACCTCATTACCAAGGTTATCCATTCCAATATTTAGTTCACCAAGCTTCTGAATGGACCTATCAAATAAAACACAAATAGTGGAAAATAAAAACTTTATTACATTGCTAATGTATTGAAATTAAAGTTTAATAAATATATACACATAATATTTGGCAAAGTTAATGTTAAAAATTGCCGAAACCGAGATAAAACCAGACACATAACCAAGACACGAAAGATTGCCTCCTCTACACCCCCCACAACACCCCTCCCCAAGTACTGCACTGTAAAGGAGACAGGCATAAAAGCACCTTTTGCCACCTTGGTGGCATGATTATAATCCTAGTACTGGGAAGCTAAAGCAACCATAAATTTGAGGCTAACCTAGACTGCATAGTAAGTTTAAGGCTAGGAGGGATACATAATAAGACTCTGCCTCAAAAAAATAACTTTTATCATAAAAGCAGGAAAAAAAAACAGCACAAAGGCAGAAAAACTCCAATATAACTTTGGCTTAATTTTCAACTTAAAACTTAATTTGAACCAGGTGCCAGTGACTCACACCGGTAATCCTAGCTATTCAAGAGGCTGAGATATGAGGATCATGGTCTAAAGCCAGTCCAGAAAGGAAAGTCAGAGAGATTCTTATCTCCAATTAACGACCCAAAAAGCCAGAAGTATAGCTGTAGCTCAAATGGTGGAATGCTTGCCTTGAGGAAAAAAAAACAACTCAGGGACAGCACCCAGGCCCAGAGTTCAAGCCCCAGGATCAGCACACAACAAGTAAAAAGTAAGTAAATGAAAAATAATCAAATAAATTGCAGTACTTGTAAGCTAAGACAACAGGAGAACTCATAAAGTTAATCCATTAAAAATCCAGCACTTGTGTATGTTTAGCCTGTTTAGCCTGTGAACAGACCTTCAAACAAGTACAAAAAAATATCATCTTCTGGGCTGGGAATGTGGCTTAGTGGCAGAGTGCTTGCCTAGCATGCATGAGGCCCTCAGCACCACATAAACAGAAAAAGCTGGAAGTGGTGATGTGGCTCAAGTGGTAGAGCACTAGTCTTGAGCTGAAGAGCTGAGGGTCAGTGCCCAGGCCCAGAGTTCAAGTCCCACAACTGACAAAAAAAAATCATCTTCTGAAACTTAAAACTCATTCTTCTGTATGAGTTTTGAATATAAAAATCCCTAGTATAGTTTGATGAGGACATTGACAACCTGTTCAAGTTGGCTCTAAGAATAAACCTGATCATTTCAAAACAAAAATAAAAAATAAAAAGGGTCCTGAGATCAAATACATTTAGGAAATATTGAGTGTTAGACCAATGAGCTCCGTTCCCATGGCTTAGAAAACTCCTTCTCCTTCCCACAGCTTGGTATGTTTCTTTCCTAGGCAACAGTAAGCCCATTTAGCAGAGGCAGTAAATCAGTCTCCAACCCCCTTTACCTTGAGATGGAACTCCTCTGGGGCAGCTACCACCATATAAGGCAGAAAGATCCCCTCAAAGTGGCCTTCAGATCCGGGCAGCAGCAAGGCCCCTTATCTATGACTTGGGCAGCAGCCATCAACCCTAGATCACCATGATGAAGCCCCTGGCTCTCACGTCCATACCAAAGTCTCTGAATCCTAGCCCCTTCTAGCCCCTCTTAGCCTCAGTAGGTTATATAGGTCACCCCAGAGAATAGCTGGCACTTCTTTCTTGTGAGAAGGAGTCTTGACGGTCCCTTTCCTGGCAATAAACCTTTTCTTTGTTTTTTGTATCTGGATGTCTGTGTGGTTTAGTAGTTTCACGGCCTGCCCAGGCAGGCTTTGAACCGTGATCTTCAGATCTCAGCCACCTGAGTAGCTAGGATTACAGGCATGAGCCACCAGTGCCTGGCTTTTCTATGGATTTCTATAACATGCTTTTTCCTTTAATATAATTTCAAACTAATCATCAAAGACCTTGAATAGGATGCTTTAACAACAACATACTCTAAACTGAACCTAAATTATTTTATAACTTAAGTTTTATTAAAAAAACAAGAACAGACATTCGTCAATAGTTTAGCTTATTGTTAATGAGGATGTATCTACTACTATTAGGGTTCCAGAACTTTCTACTTCATCTTAAATCAATGCTAGGTATCTTCTATTGCTAAAAAATAAATTTGTAAGAAAGCCAAATTGCAACTATGCTTTTAGGGGTACAAAGAAGACATCCAAAAACCAGAAGTGGTAATTAGGATTAACTGAGAAGCTACAGAGTTGATCAGAGGTGGTAAGAAAACAAGCCCTAATTTGAATGTTCAGAGGCCCACTTAAACTGAGGTCATCACTATAAATACTCCTTGTGTGAAGATAGGATCAGTTTCAGGCTCCCTGACTTACACAACACTTAAAATGTCAAGCAGATGGCCTCCACTATTATTGGTCCAAGGAAAGAGAAAGAGTCACTGCAGTTGCCAAATCATCATCATGAAACCAAATCCACGGAGAATTCCCTTGAGCCAGAAACTCTTCTGCTTTTACAGGTATTAACTCATTTAATCTTTCCACCACTCCTTGTTCATTTAAATATGTTTATATATTCTGCTGGGTGCTAGTGGCTTATACTTGTTATCCTAGCTACTCACGATCAGTGGATTATGTTTCAAAGCCAGCCTAGGCAGAAAAATCCTCAAAACTCCATTTCAAGATAGATATATATATCTATCTTGAAATGGAGTTTTATATATATATATATATATATATATGTGTGTGTGTGTGTATATATATATATATATGTGTATATATATATATGTGTGTATATATATATATATATATATATATACTGAAATATATATATATATTTTTTGGGGGGGTCCAGTTGTGGAGCCTGAACTCTGGGCCTGGGCACTGTCCCTCAGCTCTTCAGCTCAAGGCTAGCGCTCTACCACTTGAGCCACAGTGCCAGTTCTGTCTTTTTTCTTTTTGCTTATGTGGTGCTGAGGAATCGAACCCAGGACCTCAGGCATGCAAGGCAAGCGCTCTACCACTGAGCTACCTTCCCAGCCCCTCAAGGTATTTTTGTTGTTGTTCATCATGGGGCTTGAACTCAGGGCCTGGGCACTGTCCCTGAGCATTTTTACTCAAGGTTAGTGCTCAACCACCTTGAGCCACTTCCAGTTTCCTGGTGATTAACTGGAGGAAGTCAGAGTCTCATGGGCTTTCCTGCCCAAGCTGGCTTTGAACTATAATCCTCAGATCTCAGCCTTCCGAATAGCTAGGATTACAGGTGAGCCACCAGCACCTGGCTAATTCCAAAGTTTGTTGGTTTTGTTTTATAATTGTATTTTGTTTTCTGTCTTTTCTTTTTTGGTACTGAGGATCGAAGCCGGGACATTGCATTTGCTAGGTAAGTGCTTTGCTACTGAGCTACATACCAGCCCTAATCCCAAAGATTTTAACCAGCAAAATTAACCAGTAAAAATGACAGATGGGAGACATGGCTCATATGGTAGAGAGCTAGCCATGAGCAATCAAGTCAAGCAAGAGTATAAGACACTGAGTTCAAGCCCTGAAACTTGCAAAAACAAAAGTTTGTGGGTGTGGTTTACTGATAGTTATATATATATATATATATACATATATATATATATATATATATAAAACTTTATTTATTTTTTTTTTTTTGCCAGTCCTGGGGCTTGAACTCAGGACCTGGGCACTGTCCTTGAGCTTATTTTTGTTCAAGGCTAACACTCTACCACTTGAGCCACAGCACCACTTCCAGCTTTTTCTGTTTATGTGGTAGTGAGGAATCAAACCCAGGGCCTTCAGACATGCTAGGCAAGCACTCTACTACTAAGCCATATTCCCAGTCCTGGTTTACTAATTTTTATTTATTTATTTATTTTTTGTTTTTGGGTCCGGTCGTGGGGCCTGAACTCTGGGCCTGGGCACTGTCCTTCAGCTCTTCAGCTCAAGGCTAGCGTTCTACCACTTGAGTCACAGCGCCACTTCCGGCTTTTTTCTTTTTTGTTTATGTGGTGCTGAGGAATCGAACCCAGGGCCTCGAGCATGCCAGGCAAGCACTCTACCACTGAGCCACCTTCCCAGCCCACTAATTTTTAAATATACATATATAATATACTAATTTTAAGCATATACATACACATTATAGATATATTCCTTCTATAATTTAAAACAGTACAGTTAACGTTGTTTTGGAAGAATCATTTTAACATCGAATCCAAATGATTTTGTTTTTCAGTTTTTCAGTGTTTTTTTTTTAATCTTGTCGGTTGTTGGTCTTGAGCTTTGGGCCTAGGTGCTGCCTCTGAGCTCTTCAGCTCAAGGCAAGCACTCTACCACTTGAGCCACAGTGCCACTCCAGTTTTCTGGGGGTTTATTGAAGGTAAGAGTCTCACAGACTTTCCTGCCTGGGCTGGCTTTGAACCCAGATCCTCAGATCTCAGCCTCCTGAGTAGCTAGGATTACAAGCGTGAGCTGCTGACACCCAACTTTTAAGTTTTTAAAAAATCTGTTATTATAATAAGGTGATGTACAGAGGGGTCACAGATATATAAGTCAGGTAACATTTCTTTTTGACAATGTCACCCCTTCCCTTGCACTTCTCAGTTATTTGTTTGTTTGTTTGTTTATTTAGTATGTAGTTCAGATTTCAGCCTCCTGATTAGCTAGGATTACAGGCATAAGTCACCAACACCTAGCTGCTTCTTCATTTTTTGAAATACTAGGTTGCCAGGATGTCCCAAACTTTAATTCCTAGCCTCAACTTATCTTCTTGTATCAGCCTCTAAATAACTGGGGCTATACGCATTGATCACCAGACAGCAGCTAACTATGTAGGTTTATGCACTCACTACTGAAATTAACAGCTGCTTCTGGAGGGGCATGGGCTCCAGTGGTAGAGTACCTGATTAATAAGCATGAGTTCCTGAGTTCAAAAAGTGGGAGGAGGGAGGAAAGTTAACAGCTACCAAAATAGTTCTTACAATGTGCCAGGTACTGTTTTAAGCAACTCATTTAATCTTCAAAGCAACCTTGGGAAATAAACAGGCAAAAAGAAATCCAGTATCTTCCCCACAGCCCTCAGCACCCTAAATGACAGCTGTATCTACCTGAGTAAATGTAACTTGAGGATAGGGATGGGAGGAAGAAAGTGGGGGGAAATGAAGGAAAGGGTGACACTGATCAAGTTGCATTGTACTCAGAAAATTCCTTCTATTTTAAAAAGTGACTAGAAGACCAACCTGTTAAGGAACTGTTCAGTAAGATTCTGCTGCTGGTCAGAACCATCTTCCTGATTCACACCTCCTTCCAGCAACATCTGCTGGTATATCTGCCGCTGCTGCTCCTTCTGTTCTAAGTGTTGCTGATAGCGTAATCTTTGCCTGTAATATTCTTGAAACTGCTCAGTGGAATCTCGAAGCTAAAAATATTAGAAAAACAACATATTTGAAAAAAACTATTACTGAATATATAACAGTAACTTCTACAAATGCTGAATAAAAGATGACAGCTAAATATGTTTAACAGCTACAAAACAATAAGAATACCATTCTCTTTGAAAACTAACACAGTACCTATGAGACATAATATTCATAGAAATCAGCTAATTTGCTTTAGACCACTAAATAAATATACTAGCCAAAATGAATGGTTGGCCAACCCCAAATAAAAAATGCAAATTAATGACTCTCATGGGGACACAGAGAACATGTATGTAGATAAAGACAAAGCTGTCATTACTTGAATATAATACTTACTGAGAGACTGTATTAATATCTGATAAACAAAGGCCAGTGAATCATGCCTGAAATCCTAGCTACTTCAGAGATGGAGACTAGGGAAATTGGTGGTACCAGGCCAACCCTGGGCAAAAAGTTCATGAGAGCCCTCATCTCAACCAACAGTTGGGTGCAGTGATGTGAACCCGTCAGCTAGCTACACAGAGGGCTAAGAGGGAGATGTTCACAGTTCAAAACCAGCATGGGAAGAAAGTTCCTGAGGTACTCCCCCAACCACATCTCAGCAAAAAAGTCTAATATCATGGTATACATCTATCATCTTACCTATAGGGGGAAGTACAAATAGGAGGATTGTGGTCCTGGCTGGCTCAGGCAAGACTTTATCTCAAAAATAACCATGGCAAAAACAACGGGAGGCATGGGCTCAAGCAGTAGAGTGCCTGACTAACAAGCATGAAACCCTAAGTTTAAACCTTATATACTTAGGGGCTGGGAAAGTGGCTCAGTGGTAGAATGCTTGCCTTGCATGCATGAGGCACTGGGTTTGATTCCTCAGCATCACATAAGCAGAAAAAGCCGGAAGTGGCACTGTGGCACAAGTGGTAGAGCACTAGCCTTGAACTGAAGAGCTGAGGTACAATGCCCAGGCTCAGAGTTCAGACCTCATGACCGACAAAATAATAATAATAAAAAAGTAAACCTTATATGCTTAAAAAGAGCTATTTAATGAGTAATGTTAACCTTGCAAAGAATACTTAATTTAAGCGTGTAAATGGTCTGATAGCTTTCTATAGAGAGAAACATAAAATTTCCCTCAATAAAGTTTCAAATATTCTTTCATAAGGAGTAAGATGGGTGTTAAATTGAGTAGTCTCAACATTTTCTCTTAGCCCTTGTAAAAGAAATATATAACACTCAGAACTGAGATTTATAGCGAATTCCATTATTGGCACAGAAACACTCTCCTGTCATACCCAAATCTGGTCTCACTGCACAGGTTGTGTGCACTGGGCTAATCCTGGAACAAACTGACCACCATCTCTAAAATTAACCACCACTAACAATAAGCTTAGCCAAGAGTTTTTCACAGCTATCTAAGGTCCTTTCTCTTTTCTGGAAAATAGAAAATTTCCTTCTCTATTTCATAACTTACAGTAATAACTCTAAAAAAATTGTCCATACTTCAAATGTTAACTAAGGAAAAAAATAACATAAAATGTATCATTTTATCCATTCTGAGTATACAATTCAGTGGCATTAGTTACACTCACAATATCGTGCAACCATCACCACTATATCCAAAACCTTTTCATCATTCCATACAGAAATTACAACTAACAACGTACTATGTGATTTTTTTTGTTTCTTTTGTATGTTCTTCTCCATGGTATAACTCCTGTTCCACTGCCCTGCATCTTGTATATACATTTTTCTAATTTGGGGAGAGGAAGGGAAATTACAAAATGCTGAAACAGGGATACAGGTTGATCCACTGTATTAATGAGATATACAAGATGCTATGTTGAAAACAAACTTTACAACTTGGGGGGAGGAGGAAAGGGAGGGAGGAGTTAGGGAGGTAGGGAGGGAAGGGCTGATAGGGAGAAAACAAAGGAGGGAGTAACAATACTCGATAGGAAATGTACTCATTACCTTACTCATGTAACTGTAACCCCTCTGTACAGTATCTTTAAAATAAAAATATATATTAAAATACAATAAAAAAGAAATTATAACTATTCAGCAATAACTCCTATTTTCTTTTCCTTTTGGCCCCAGGTAATCTCTATTCTATTTCTGCATCTATGAATTAACCTATTCTACATATTTCATATAGGTGGAAATCATACATTTGTTCTTTTTAATCTGATTAGTTCATAGAGTCTGAGGTTTTCAGGGTTCATCCACTTTGGTTTTTTTCCTTGGATTTGTTTGTTCATTTTTATGCCAGTATTGGGGCTTGTACTCAGGGCCAGAGAGCTGACCCTTAGCTTTTTCTCTCAAGGCTGGCAATCTACCACTTGAGCCACAGTTTGACTTCTGGTTATCTGGTGGCTCACTGGAGATAAGAATTTCATGGACTTTCCTTCTGGACTGGCTTTGAACCATGATCCTAAGATCTCAGTCTCTTGAGTAACTAAGATTACAGGTATGAACCATTGGTGCTGGCTGGGTTCATCTACTTCATAGCATGTGTTAGAACATCATTACTTGTTATGGCTAAACAATATTCCATTGTGTATATATGCCACATTTTGTTTTTCCACTCTACCAGTAGACAAATAGATTATTTTCATCTTTGGCCATCATGAGCAATGCTGTTATAAGTATGGTATGGAAATGCTTATCTCTGATCTTACTGTTTTGGGCTTATACCTATGGATGAAAACAAATGGTCATATAATAATTTTACATTTAGAGTTTTGTTGTGTAGTACTGTGGTTTGAACTTTGGACCTCACATCTCCCAGACAGGTCCTCTTACCATTGAGCCACATCTGCAATCCTATGTTTAGCTCTTAAAGAATCAATCAACCCTTTTCTACTTTTTTGTTTGTGGGTTTTTTTTGTTTTTGTTTTGTGTGTGTGTGTGTGTGTGTGTGAGGTGCTGGGGATGGACCTAGGACCTTGAAAATGCTAGTTACATTTTCCCTAACCCCTTCTAAAAAGTCTTTACAGTAACTGCACTGAACATTTTATATTCCAACTAGCAATTGTATAAGGATTCAAACTGCTTTATTTTTCTAAATTTGGTATTAATTGGAGATAAGTCTCACATACTTTCTGCCGAAGCTGGTTTCAAAGCATAGTCTTCAAATCTCAGCCTCCAAGTTGGTAGGGCTACAGTCGTGAGCCACAGATGCAGTTCTTTTGCCCATTTTTAATTTGGATTGTCATTTTGTTGTTGAGTGGTAGGAGTTTTTATATAACTCTAGATTTTAAAGTTTATCAGATTTGGGCTGGGAAGTTGGCTCAGTGGTACAGCGCTTGCCTTGCATGCCTGAGGCCCTGGGTTCGATTCCTCAGCACCACATAAGCAAAAAGAAAAAAGCCGGAAGTGGTGCTGTGGCTCAAGTGGTAGAGCGCTAGCCTTGAGCTGAAGAGCTGAGGGACAGTGCCCAGGCCCAGAGTTCAGGCCCCACGACCGGAACCCAAAAAAAAAAAAAAAAAAGTTTATCAGATTTAATTTATAAATACTTTGTTCCATTCTGTATATTGCCTTTTTTACTTCCTTAATAACATTTTTTGATCTACAAAAGCTTTTTAATTTTGATGAAGTAAAATTTATTTTTACTTCTTTTTGCTTATACTTTTGGTGTCCCATTTATGAATACATAATAAAAATAGACTTTATGGTTTAGCCTTATAGACTAGTGACCCATTCTGAGTTAATTTTTGTATATGGTATGAGGTAGATATCCAGCTTTATTCTTTTCATATGGAAATCTAGTTGCTGCAGGTAAAGAGACTATTTTTAAAGAAACTATTGTTTCTCTCCTGAATGGATTGGCATCCTTGCAAAAATCAACTGACTCTCACAAGACAATATGGTGGAAATGATCTGTACAACTTGAAGAGGTTGGAGGGTAGAAGAATAGTGGGAGAAAAAATGAGGGAGGGGATAACAAGTCAACAAGAAATGTAATGTAACCCTATATATATCATCTTGACAATAAAATTTAAATTTAAAAAATCAACTGACTATATGAAATAACTTCTACATGCTCTATTTTATTCCATTGTTTATGTATCTACCACACTTTCAGTACTATAGCTTTGTAACAAATTTAAAAATCATAAAATAAGTCTTACAAATTTGTTCCTTTTCAAAACTGTTTGGCTATTTGGGGCATCTTGCAATTCCTTATGAACTTGAGCTTTAGATTTATTACTGTAAAAGAGACTGTAGATTTTGTGTGTGTGTGTGTGTGTGTGTGTGTGTGTGTGTGTGTGTGTGTGTGTGTGTGTGTGTGTGTGTGTGTGTGTGTGTGAGATACTGGGATCTGAACTAGGGCCCCTGCACTGAGTGGGCTATACAGCTTCAGTTGCAGTCAGCCTGCATTTCTCACACAGCTGAGAAGACAGGCACACACCAGTACAGCAGGCTTTTCATTAATTGAGTGACAATCTCATTAACTTTTTGTCTAGGATAACATCAACCCATAATCCTCCAGATCGCTGCCTGCCCAGTAGCCAAAATTAAGCAGGCATGATTACACAAAAAGACTCTGGAAGTTTTATAGGGAATACATTGTATCTGTAGATTATCCTAGGTAGTAATCACAATTTAACAAAGTTAACATTTCCTATTCATGAACACAGGACTTATTTCCTTTAACGCCTCTAACATTTCTCTCAGCAATGTTCTGTAGTTTGCAGTGTAAAAGTCTTTATTTTTGTCAGTAGTGGGGCCTGAAATCTGGGCCTGGGCACTTGTCCCTCAGCTCTTCAGCACAAGGCTAGCCCTCTATCTTTTTTTTTTTGGGTCCGGTCGTGGGGCCTGAACTCTGGGCCTGGGAGCTGTCCCTCTGCTCTTCAGCTCAAGGCTAGCGCTCTACCATTTGAGCCACAGCGCCACTTCCGGCTTTTTTCTTTTTGTTTATGTGGTGCTGAGGAATCGAACTCAGGGACTCAGGCAAGCAAGGCAAGCCCTCTACCACTGAGCCACCTTCTCAGCCCAAGCGCTCTATCTTTTGAACAAGGCTTTTTCTGCTTATGTGGTGCTGAGGAATCGAACCCAGGACCTCATGCATGCAAGGCAAGCACTCTACCACTGAGCCGCCTTCCCAGCCCTTATTCTGTTAATTTTTTGCTCAGCAAAACCTTATTAACCTTATGAGTTCTCGTAATTTTTTCATGAGATCTTTAGGATTTTTCCTGAATAAGATCACATCATCTGCAAAATGATAATTTTATCTCTTCTGGTTTGAATATCCTTTTATTTCTTTTCCTTGATTAACTGCTCTCATCAGAACTTCCAGTAAATGCTCAAGAGCATTTGTAGAAACTGGCATTGTGGTCTTTATTCTTTCTTTTTTTTTTGGGGGGGGGGGGTGTCCAGTCGTGGGGCCTGAACTCTGGCCCTGAGCACTGTCCCTCAGCTCTTCAGCTCAAGGCTAGCGCTCTACCACTTGAGCCACAGCGCCACTTCCGGCTTTTTTCTTTTTGCTTATGTGGTGCTGGGGAATCGAACCCAGGGCCTCAGGCATGCAAGGCAAGCGCTCTACCACTGAGCCACCTTCCCAGCCCTGTGGTCTTTATTATTGATGTCAGGGAAAAAACTTCTAGTCGCCACTTAACTATGTTAGCTGTGGGTATTTCATAAATGCCCTTTACCATATTAAGGTTCCCTTTTATTCCTGGATTTCTGATATTTCTTTTATCATTAGAGGGTATTAAATTTCATCAACTTTACCAACTGAGGTGATCATATGGGTTTTTCTCCCTCATTGTATTATTCTGATATATTACACTAATTTATCTTCTGTTAACTATTCCTTGAATCCTAAAATAAATCCCACCTAACCACAGTGCATAATCTTAATATACTATTGGATTTGCTGGTAATTTGTTGAGGAGATTTTTTTGCCTTTATATTCATAATGGCTACTAGCCGATAGTTTTCTTTTAATAGCTTCCTTCATCTGACCAGTAACAGGATGACGTTGCCCTCATAGAATTAGTTAAGAAGTATTCTTGCTCTTCTCTTTCTTTTTTTGTGCTGGTCCTGGTTACTGTCCCTGAGCTTTTCTACTGAATGCTAGTGCTCTACCACTTGAATCACAGCTTCACTTCCAGCTTTTTGGTGGCTAACTGGAAATAAGAGTCTCACAGACTCTCCTGGCTAGGCTGGCTTCAAACCATGACCTCAGATCTCTGCCTCCTGAATAGCTAAGATTATAGGCATGAGCCATTGGTGACCAGCTGCCTCTTTTCTTTTTTGGGAAGAGTGTGAAAAGAATTATTTTTACAGCCAAGAGCCCTGTGTGTGCTAGGCATGCTACATCTCCAGCCCAACCCTTAAAAGACTTACAAAACAATATGCATGGTATATTACCGATTCTTTGGGGAGAAGAAATGAGCCAATATTGAAGTCTAGATGTTCTCTTCCTACTCCCAAATTACAGAAAATTATTTAAAGGTTCTATACAGGCAAATGCTATTATTTTTTTGCCAAGAGAAAGGATTCTAAAAGACAACGAATAGTAGTAAATATTACCTCATTTTTTTCTTGCTTCAGTGTTCCTGGATTCTGTGTTCCATTTGCAGGCTCTTTTTCAGAAACTGAACTCTGGCTCAAGATTTCACTGCTAATAGGCCGCTGTGCCTCAACAGGTGTATCACTTTATCCAGAAAGGTGCCAAAAAGCAAAAAGCAAGGAGGATGAAGGAAAATATATTTTAGTCAGAGAACTTTCAAGTATAAAAAAGTGAATGTTTATCCTAAGTGCTCACCAGGTGAACAGATTTTTTTTAGCCCAGATATATGTGTGTACCTGTGTGTGTATGTGTTTAAAAAAAAGGTCACATTAAATTTGGGGATTTTGACAGTGTATACCCACACACACATATTTATACACAGGGAATGACAGGAATGTAAAACAGATCCTGTTGGAGTTGTGTCTACTAATGGGAGGGGAGAGGGTGAACAGAGAGGGTGAAAGAGGACAGATATGGCGAATATACTTTATGTACATGTTTTACACTGGAAGAATCAAGCTTACTGAGATTCATTTGGGAAGGAGGGAGAGGAATAAGAGAAAATGACAGAGGAGACAAGATACATAAAACTCTTCTGTTTAACTAATTGATGCTAACAACAACAACTAAAAGAGGGTTTTGACAGTAGTTATCAACCTTCTTTCTATTCTCTAAACCTGCAGCTCACAGCTGCTGGTGCATTCCTCCACCAGAACAAGCTGGCTGCAAAAGGGACTGTCAGCCAGAGCTGTTGGTCTCTAGGAGGTTATTTCAGAACCAAACTGGAGGCAAGAATAGTTTATAGAGAGCAAGGAAAAGGGTGACATTGTCCAAAAAGAAATGTACTCTTTACCTGACTTATGTAACTATAATCCCTCTTTACATCACCTTTATACTAACAATAAAAAATGTTTACACAAAAGAAAAAATGAAGAATAGTTTATATCCTGCTGGGTTTTAAACCTAGATGATTCTAATGTTTCCCCATACTTTGTATTTTTTTTTACTTTCCTTTCTTCCCTCAACTACAAAAATAGTTTTTAAAAATAGAAAGTGATTTATAGAAAGGAGTACTTTTTATTTTTTGTTTTTCTGTTCCTGGGGCTTGACTTCAGGGCCTAGACTCCTGGAGCTTTTTGCTCAAGGCTAGTGGATCTACCACTTTAGAGCCAAACTTCATTTTCGAGCTTTTTGGTGGTAACTGGAGATAAAAATCTCATTTCCTCCTGCTTGGGCCAGCCTTGAACCTCAATCCTCAGATCTCAGCCTTCTGAATCGCTAGGATTAGAACTGTGAGCCAGTAGCACCCAGCAAGGTTTATAAAGTTTTAAATTTTATTAAAAATATTTTTATATTCTACATAAAAATAAAACATGCCGGGCACCAATGGCTCATGCCTATAATCCTAGCTACTCAGGAGGCTGAGATCTGAGGATCGTAGTTCAAAGGAAAGTCCATGAGACTCTTATCTCCAATAAACCGCCAGAAAACTAGAAGTGGTCCTGTAGTTCAAGTGGTAGAGAGCACTTGCGTTGGGCTGAAATGCTCAGGGACAGCGCCCAGGCCCAGAGTTCAAGCCCCACAATTGACAAAACAAAACAAATCTCTGTCCAACATTTACATTGTATTAGGTGTTTTCTTTTGTTGGTACTGGTATTTGAACCATGTATGAGTTTCTCAAAGACATTCCAGATTATTCCTAATATTCTTCTAACATACTAATAACTTCTACTTTTACAGCTACTCTAGTCAAAATTTTTAATAACTAATTTTCCCTGAAGACAATGAATACCAGACACTTAAACATTTTATCTAATGGTTTAGAGACCCTGGGAACAATTACAAAACTAAATAATCTCTTCCTTTAAGAAATTTGAAAATGAACCCCAAGATAGGGACACAAGTAGTTTTTTTTTCTTGCTATTGTTTTTAACACATTTATAATGTACTATGTGATTTTTTTTTTGTTTCTTTGGTATGTTCTTCCCCCAAGGTATAACCCCCATTTTCACTGTATTTGATTACGGTGCTCTCTATCTTGTATATACATTTTTCTAATTTGGGGAGGGGAAGGGAAATAACAAAAAGCTGAAATAAGGATACAGGTTGACCCATTGTAACAATAAGACACTATGTTGAAACAAACTTTACAACTGGGGGGTGGGGGTTGGGGAGAGAAAGGATGGTAGGGGAAAAACTAAGGAGGAGGTAACAATGCTCAATAGGAAACGTACTCATTACCTTACTCATGTAACTGTATATCTCTATATGGTATTTTTACAATAAAAAATAAAAAAAAGAAATTTGATTATGGTGGGGTGCAGATGGCTCACGTCTGTAATCCTAGCTAGTCATGAAGCTGAGATCTGAGGATCGTGGTTCAAAGCCAGCCTGGGCAGGAAAGTCCTTAAGACTCTTCCAATTAACAGCACCTAGGTCTGAGTTCAAGTCCCATGATCCCCAAAATCCTTTTGATTATGAGGTATCCTTGTAACGGCCTCTGTAGGAAGGAGTACATAAGACATATCAAAATTCAGGTCTAGGGTTCAGGAAACAGCTGGACAGGCATCTTCAAAAAAGCTACGTTCTGCTGGATACTAGTGGCTCACATCTCTAATCCTAGCAACTGAGGAGGCTAAGATCTGAGGACTGCAGTTTGAAGCCAGCCTGAAACTATTTATCGCCAATTAATTATCAAAAAAGCCCAAAGTATAGCTGTAGCTCACATGGTAGAGTGCTAGCCTTGAGCAAAAAAGCTCAGAGACAGCACACAGGCTCTGAATTCAAGCCCCAGGACTCTACAACAAAACAAAAACAAAAAACAAAGGAAGAACCTACTATTCCTGAGTACCTGTAAAATGCATACCACATACACATCCAGAAACTCTCAGAAGAGGTTTTTACTATCATACTGTAATGTAAATTCCTAATGGCCATAAGAGCCATGCCTCTAGCCCTCTAGTTTTTGTTGTTTTTTTGTTTTTTTTTAATGTTTTGGCAGTACTGAAGTACTGAAGTATAGTGCCTCATGCTTGCTATACAAATTCCCTACCACTTGAGTCATGCCCTTGTTTGCTTCAGCTATTTGGTGGATAGGATCTTAAGTTTTTGCTTGAGTGATCTCAAACTCACAATTCTCCTGCTTCCACTTTCCAAGTAGCTGGAATTACAGATATGTACCACAGTGATCAGCTTACAAAACCTCCATTTTATGATCAAAAATAAGAATTTCTAAGTATTATTAACTCAAGAATTCTTAAGAGTTACATTAGCCAGGAGCTGGCGGCTCATACCTGTAATTATAGCTACTCAGGAGGCTAAAATCAGGATTGTGATTTGAGACTAGCCTGGGTAAGAAAGTCCATGATCTCCAATTAATCACCAGAAGAAAAAAAAAAACCAAAGTGGAGTTGTGGCTCAAAGTTGTATAGCAAAGCCCCACCACCAACAAAAAAATTACATTATTTGTATAAATGTACAATAAGTGGATCTTCATAGAGTAACATTTAATTTTGTGATATCTATAGAATATTCATATTCAGTATCTCATTTAATTTGCACAATTACCTGTGGAATATGTTATAATCCCCATTTCACAGGGGAAAAAACAAACTAAAAATAAGCAACAGGTATCTTAAAATTGCATGGCAAATACAGCTATAACTTGAACGTAGGAGGAATTGAAGACAAGGCTATAGGTGACATGAAAATGAATTTTTGGTTGTTGCTGTTTGTCACAGGGCTCTTTTGCTAAAAGCTAATGCTCTACCACTTTGAGCCACAGTGCCACTTCTGGTTTTCTGGTGGTTCATTGCAGATAAAAGTCTCATGGGGACTCTTATGCTGGGTCTGGCTTAAAATCACCATCCTCTGATCTGGTGGGCATAAGCCACCAGCACTAAGCAAAAAAAAATGTTTGTTTTTTTTAACCAGTCCTGGGGCTTGAACTCAGAGCCTGGGCTCTGTCCCTGAGCCTCTCTGTGCTCAAGGTTAGCCCTCTACCACTTGAGCCTCAGCACCACTTTCAGCTTTTTCTGTTTATGTGGTGCTGAGGAATCGAACCCAGGGCTTCATGTATACTAGGCAAGCACTCTACCACTAAGCCACATTCCCAGCCCCAAGAAAATCATTTTTTTTAAGTTTTTTAAAAGTATGTAGAACAGAACCAATATTAGCTGAAATTATTGAAACACAAATTTAATATCATTCTCCACTTAAAATCCTTCCTACACCTACACTTATAATAAAATCTGCCTTCCTCTCTCTCTCTCTCCACTGTGTTCCAGCTCCCCACTCATCTCTAGTAGGTCCGTGCCTTTGCCTCTGCCAGAGCCATTACCCCCACATAGTGCACCTAGCGGAGCACTTCCTCTAAGCGGCTGCCCCAGGACACTTGCTTCCTCTGTATCAGCTCTACCCTCTTTTCTCACTTTCAAATTCTTGATTTCATTCAATACATTTAGCATAACTTGAAATTATTTTATATGCCTGTTTACCTTTTTAGTCTGTCTCCCCAACTAGATCAAAGCTCCATGAAGAGAGGAAAGTCATCTGCCCCACTTATCACCACAGCCCTTATGCCAAACACAGGGCCTGTCATTTGGCAGCACCCATTAAAAAAAAAAAAAAGTGGACTGGGAACAGTGTCTTAGTGGTAGAGTGCTTGCCTAGCATGAATGAAGCCCTGGGTTTGATTCCTCAGTACAGCATAAACAGAAAAAGCCAGAAGTGGTGTTGTAGCTCAAGAGGTAGAATGCTAGCTTTGAGCAAAAGAAGCTCAGTGACAGTGCCTAGGTCCCGAGTTCAAGCCCCAGGATTGGCAAAAAAAAAAAAGCATGATGTATTTAGTTTTGTCAGTTGTGGGGCTGAAAATCAGGGCCAAGACATTGTCTCTGAGCGTTTTTGCTCAAGGCTAGTGCTCTACCACTTTGAGCCACAGCTCCACTTCTGATTTTCTGGTGGTTAATTGAAGATAAGAATCTCATAGGCTTTCCTGCCCCAGTTGGCTTTGAACCTCAATCCTCAGATCTCAGCCTACTGATTAGTTAGGATTACAAGCATGAGCTAAAACAAAAGGGTTTTTTTTTTAATGCTAGAAAATAAGTCAATTGTGGAGAATTAGTAAACTGAAACCAAGGCTGAAA